AATGGCATTCTGAAGAAATGGTCATTAATTGTGTGTCAGTCATTTTCTAGGTCAACACCTTCACTCATCTTTATTCCGTTTTGCAGTCCTCTCACCTTGCTCTCCTCCCTCTCTTGCTTCAGAACATAAAGGGCCTTACACAGCCTGGCCAGGTAAATGAAAGCAGCAGTACAAACTACTGGTTTAGTATCAGAACTGCAAAAAGGATTATAGGAGACAAGCTCTTTGTGCTTTCACACAGCCCACACAAGTATTAGCTTAAAATATCAGTGTAACGTATTTTTCAGTGTCACTGTTTATTCCACTTAATGATCCTTTTCATTTTCTCTTGTGTGTGCACAGACTCACAATGCTGCTTTAGTAACTGATGATGATGAGAATGAGTAGTCTGGTGGCTACAATTATTAGGCTAATAAATAAAGTCCTGTATCGAAGATGTAACTGCCTTCCTTATGAATAGATTTAAAGATATTAGTATATTAGTAATGATAGAGGCAGTTAAATACACCGAAATTCAAACTGTTGTTCAAGAAATTCATCCAACACACAAATCATACAAACTACAAGATCATGTTCACAAACTACTATGTAATCAAATGTGTTTAAGCTATAGCTTAAACCAAAATACATGAAAATAGGAAAGAACCACTGCAGAGCACGTGCTGAGCATTCAGCAGCTCAAATCATCACACTATTAGCCTAACACATTTGACATGACTTATTACCATCTACACATATTATAAACAAACATTATAGTTAATAATCCAATTACAGTAAGAAATACTCACAAAATGGAAATAAAAATAAGGGTGATAAGAAAATACCCTATCACAGTCACTGCCCCTGAAAGCATTACCATTACTGGAATTACTTGTTTCTGAAATCACCTTCAGGTAGTGTTTCATCACTTGCCTAAAAGAGCCATTGGCAAGCCACCATCTGGTGTGGCTCTGGGTTAATGTTGCTGGGAATAGAACTGGCATTCTGTTTCCATTCCAGAGCCAGGGCTGTTAATAATTCAGGAGAACACAGCTGAAATAGAAAGTATTGAACTGGGGATAACCTAGAGATTCTATTTGTTCCATCTAACAATGGCACAAGGGAACACCTCAATTTGTTGCCATTTGATGTCTCCACAGAGGGGAAAAAGAAACATAAAATGTGGCTTTGTCTTATCTCCTATAAAGAGACATACATTTTTGTACATAAAATAATGGGCAACTTCCCTAAAAGCTTTCAGGTGGGATATGAGTTTAAAGCATGCAGAATGGCAGTGCTGTTGATCACTTCTCCAAAGCAGGGGCTCCCAGCTCCCATGGCATTTCAGCTGGCAGGACGGGATCCTTGCTCTAACAGAGCTCAGTTCTGCTCAGCTCAGGAGGTGCTGGGGACAAATTAATTCCCTGGCCCCAGCTGGAGCAGCCTGCAGTGCACCACCTGCAAGGGCACAGCATGATTTCCATCTCACAGTGTTTCACTGCTTCCCACAGAGTGAGCTGTTGCTTTGTAAAAATATGTTCTCTCACACGTTGCCAGTCTGTCACAGAAGTCCCTTCCTGACTAGAAAAAGCAAGCAGACAGAACCAAGACAAGAAGAAAACCCACAAATTTTGGTACTTAACCAACTTTTATGCTCATTTTTATTTAAATTATCTTGACTATTATTGTTGCCTAGTAAAAATCCATTTGTTGATGGATTGTAACTGCTGCCTGCTAATAATCTCCCAGCAAGAGAAGGGTAAGCCTTTGTGTGGTGATGGCTGAACTGGTTTCAGCAACAAGTCTGGAAGAGACAACTAGAAATATCCATCTGCTTCATTGGAAAATAATCCCTTGGATATTGGTGAGTCACAGGGGCACAAGATAAGCTTGGGGGAGTGAGGGGAAAGCTATACTAACAAAGTGCAACAAACAGGGCACATCCACTCACACTATCAAGTGACTTCACACCTCAGCCTCTTCAAAGCTAAGCAAAAATGTTTGTGACTTAACCCCCACTCCTGCTTTTTGTTTAAAATCAATATTTTCGAATCCAGGGAGGATCTCCAGGAAATAATTCAGATCTGACAGAGAAACAGAGGACGTCCAACAGTGTTTAGTTGTTAATATATACAAGCAGCAAGCTAATTCAGATGTGTGTGCAGCTGCACCAGCAACAATTAACAAGTCCATGCTTTAAATAAATAAAATATAAAGTGATGGAGAATTTAAAATAGTCTAATCATGGAAACACACAGAAATTTAAAACAAGCAATATGACCTTCTGATTCCAGATGCTGCCACTTTTTTATGAAAATTACTCTTTATAAAGGTTACAGGCAAGAAGTAGTAACTCCATGTTCATAGGAGGCTGCCATGTCCAACAGGCACATGCTATGGAAAAGCAGGACAGATTCCCCACTACTGAGAAACTAAAGGACAAAGTTGTCGGTTTTGTTGGGGAAAGACCCACAGAGGCAAACGCAGAGAAGAAGGGAATGAGCCAATCCTTGGGCAGCTGTAGCACCCCAGTGAGGTACTGCCCCCTTCCTGAGCCATGGCATTGCTGGCCCATGGAGAACCACTGATCCATAGAGCTGAGCCCAGGTCCAGACTGCTAGATCAGCTCAGGGACTGACAGACCGTAGGTATTCAGATTTCCATATTAACTTAGTAAAAATGGTTATTTTTTTATTGAAGATGCTGTGATTAAGATAACTCTGTCAAGATCCAATGCTGGAAGATATGATATATTTCTTGGAATTCAGGCACTGAACAGAGTCAGGCTCTGTGAGCCTCTTTCACTCTAAGGAGCAAGGCAACACAGAGGCAAGGTAGAAACAAAAACCACACTTGCAGATAAGCTTTCTAGTTATGTGGGGGCTATTCACAGTACATATTTTATTGCCAAAAAATGATGCTCTCTCATGAGAAACATATTGCAATAAGTATTAGAATTTACCTGGTTGAAAAAGAATGAATAAAAGTAAAAGATGACTGTGCAACATACAGAATATTGTACCCTTCCTAACACAATTTTAATGCATGGACTCCATCTCAGCCAAGATTCTAAGTAAGTGTGAAAATTTTGTTAAAAAAAAAAACAAAACAAGTATACTTGTATCTTTTGAACCAGCACTATCTTATCATCAAGAAATCTTATCTTCTCCCCTGCTTGTACCAGCACAAACATGTGGTAAAGAACACTGGTGACCTGCTTAAAACTCGACTGGTTTAAAAATCTCAACAACCCCAAACAGTTAGTTTTAACCCACATCAATTCCCCAATCTGTTCTGATATGCAGCCACACAAACACCTACACTGATACAAGCAGATAGAAGAAAACTGCTCCCCTCAACAGCAGTGCTGGCTAAAACTGTAAATCCAACTGAAGACCTTCTGGTGTTTGCAGACTTTCTTACCAAAGTCAGCAAAGCAAAAGTTCCACTGAAAACCAGATTAGAGGCCAAGTCCAAAATCAGTACAACACATAAGATAACTCCACATAAACTTTCAGATCAGCTCTGAATTTTGTCTCAGATCACAAGCTATTAGTCTCAAAAACTAACTGCGCTACTGGAAACAAAACCAATTAAATGTTAGTAGTAGATACAAGAAACAAACTTTAGTCTAAAATATGTAAAAGACAGTCAAGGAAGAACAGCAAAAAACAGAGTTGTAGGAAAGTTGGAAAATAAGGGTTTTAAGTTATATGAACAAAATCCACCCTGGAAGCCCCAAAGAGAGGATTTGAGCTGGCAAGGTCAAGGTTGAAATGGACAATTGCGCAATATTCAAACAACCTTTTCCCCAGATTTTTTCTAATACACAAATATTCAAGCAAAAATGTTCCAGGTATCATACCCTCTCAAGAATTTGCTTTGTTACCTTAATTTTTAATATTAGTCAACAGTATAACTTCACTGAAAGGTTTGCAGTCTGTTAATTTTCAAACAAGCTTCCCCTTTTTTACTTACTCATTAGAACAAGTGCATTCTAGGGCAATACCATCCATAACAATATCTATAAAGACCTCTAGCTTCCATTTTGATTTAATGAAATTAGACTTCTTTATAGTAGCAAAGAAGGTATTTTGAAAGCCATAAACCATAGGAAGATAAAACATGATTTTTGGGAACTAGATTCAGGGAAGTATAAAATCATGAGGAAATAAGACACGCTTCAGTTTCCTGAGCCACTTCTATGCATTTAGCACTCTCATCGAGTTCAGACAGGTTTATTATGCCGGACTTGAACATTCAAACTAAGCCAGGCTCAGCACAAGGAGAGCGTGAGACAACCCTGAGCACAACGAGGATGATTAAATGCTGTGGGCTCTGTGTTTGTGTTCCACGGGGGATGTGTGAAGAACTGACTTGCTGGAGATAATTTCTAAGGAGAGACTTGGAACGGTATAAAGTACGAATAAAAAAGATTAATAATAATAAAAAAGGAAAGAGGAGGAAGAATAATCAGAGAATATGCACAAAATTGCCACTAGCTAAAAAAATGAAACTGAAAAAAGGGTGGTGGAAGACTAAATGTGAAACGCACATCATCTCGCTGTGCCAGGCCGCTCGGTTCGCCGGGACAGCAAAGCCCCGGGGAGACCCAGAGGGAGAAATGAGGGAGAAATGAGAACAGCGCCGAGGGGACCCTGAGGGGACCCTGAGGGGATCCCTGAGGAGACCCTGGTGGACGCCCTGCCCGTGTCCCTGTCCCGATCCCTGCCCGTGTCCCTGTCACCTGCCCCGCCCGTGTCCCTGTCCCGATCCCTGCCCGCGTCCCTGTCCCGATCCCTGCCCGTGTCCCTGTCCCGATCCCTGCCCGCGTCCCTGTCCCGATCCCTGCCCGTGTCCCTGTCCCGATCCCTGCCTGTGTCCCTGTCGCTTGCCCCGCCCGTGCCCCCTCAGCGCAGGCCGGTACTCTCTCTCTCGGCGGGGCCGGGCCCGCGCTGCCCCCGCCGGGCTGCAGAGGGCGCTGCGCGGCGCAGCCCCCGCCCTCTCCACCGCCCCGGCGGGCCCGTCCCGGCCATGGCGCTGCCGGTGCTGTCGAGCTCGGCCGTGAAGTTCCGGCGGGTCCTGGCGCACTTCCCGCAGGAGCTCAGCCTGGCCTTCGCCTACGGCTCGGGGGTGTTCCGGCAGGCGGGGGCCGCGACCGAGCACGGCGAGGTGAGCGCTCGGGCCCCGCGGGCCTGTGCTGGGCGTCCCGGGCACCGCAATGCCTGGAGCCGCCTCGGCTGCTGTGCGGGAAGGGGCGAGGAGCCCCGGCCCTTATGGAATATTGTCCGGGCCGCGCCCCGGGCTGCCCGGGAGGGCCCGCGGTGGTCCCGGCAGTGGGTTTGTCATTGTGAGGGGCTTGGCATCCCCTTCAGTCCTGTGTGTGCACACTGCGTGTCAGGTTATTTACTGCTGTTTTTAAAGAGAATTACAGCTTGTGCAACCTGCTGTGCACCGTATGAGGGGAATTGAAAATATATCGCTACACTGAAGTGGCAGTCTCGGGGCTTCCTCATCGCTTGGGGGTCAACTGCTTGGAAATAACGTTTCTTTTTATTTATTGTTTGTGTTCAAGCTTTTAAAAATTGTTAATCTTCACTATTGGTCGTTATTGGCTTGACCTACTATGCACTCTCCATAGATGTGACTTTAAATGTGCCTCGTTTTCTTTAAACGGAGATATAAGAATTTCAGAGCTCTCACAGCATCTCGTCGTCACACAAAAGAATAGGAAAAAAGGTAGCTAACAGATTATCTTTTTAGTAGTATTAATGGGTTAGCTGAGATGCTGCTCACAATTAATAAGCCACAGAGAGGCTATCCTAGTGAATTTGAAGCAACATCACTGCAGAGAGTGGTGTTGCAGGTGTGAGTTCTGAGCCTTGGTGCTGTCTGTGCAGGCAGTGCGTGCTCTGGGTGCTCCACAATACATACACCGCACACTGGAAGTCTTGGGAGTTTGGGTTGTTTTGTTGTCGAAACACAACCTTTATCTGCCCACATCCCCCAGTTCACGGCCTTGCAAATTGCCAGAAGTCTTGTTCGTTAGCAGTGTCAGCTGTTCCACTGAGCTGTGAATTAAGGTGGTGGAGATCTTACACTTGCTCTTCTGTTTTAGAGGGTTGAAGTTTGGTCACGGACAGGACAGGAAAATTTTGAGTAGTCTCTGCTAAATGAACAAGAAAACACAACTTTATCTGAATCTTTAAGCTATATCTGACATTAATACTTGTGTTTTAGGCTTTATTATTATATTTTTCTTGTGAAAAATTATTGGCTGGAAGTTTGATACTATGTACATCTTAGATTATTATGATTATGTATATCTTTGGTTATTATGATAAACATTGGCTGCTTCTTGGCATATAAACCCCAATGCTCTTCTCCTCATCCACAGAACAATATGCTGGATTTCGTATTTGCTGTTGATGATTCTGTGACCTGGCATATGATGAACTTGTTAAAGAACAGGAGTCATTATTCCTTCCTAAAATTTTTTGGGCCAAACCAGATAACTAATATACAGAGCTACGGAGCAGGAATTTACTACAACACTTTAGTGCCATGTAATGGTAGGGTAAGTACAAGTAGTCTTTGTGCAAGTACAAATCAAGTAAAATATTTGTCTGTGGTGAAGTATTGAAATGATTAGCTTAAAGCAAATTTCAGGAAGCCAGTCTTGTAGATTGTAGCTGTAGATTATCTTCAATATTTTTGTCTCAAAACTGCTTCCCAAACAGCATTTTAATTAAAAAGCAAACAGACCAGCTGCTCTTGCACCTTAAAAAGTGTGATCAATGTTTGGAACTTAGAGCTAAAGCACTTCAGAAAGTGGATTTATATTCCTTACTACCCGCTGTCTGCCAGCTTTGGTGGTGTATTCTGGGGAAACGCCCTGAACTTCAGCAGTGGACCACGTAGTAATAGCAGAGTGGATTCTAATTGTTTGTTTGGCATAAAATGCAAATTGCAACGTAGCAAGTTGGAATTGACACCTGTGTTCTTTAGTGCTGGCAATCCTGACCTGTGAGGCTTGGGTGTAGTTGATAATTCTAGATAAGTGGTCCAGCAAGATCTCTGACAAACTATTTCTTGAGTATTTTCAATATCAGAAAGGATACTGTGGATTAATCAAAATATTGTAACATTTGGCTGGAGACTTTATTGCAGCTTTGATTATAAAAAAGATCTTAGAGTTCCAGGCATTCCATTTTTCCCCAGAATTTTGCATATAAGTAAGAAATTTTTTTTTTAACTCCTGTGTTAATTAAAACATGAAAATGTTTTACTGGTATGCATCCAATTTTTTATTGGATGTGTGTGTTCTTTAGAATGAATGACAGTTATGTCAGGAAATAGTTTCATGGAGTGAAAAAGGTATAGGTACATTTTTTCAAAACCCTTTATTTTGCTTTTTTCCCAGATGATAAAATACGGTGTAATTAGCACTGATACCCTGATTGATGATTTATTTCACTGGAAAACCCTCTATGTCGCTGGGCGCCTACAAAAGCCGGTAACTGTTCACCTGTTCAGTTTTCTGTCTTGAAATGCAGGAAATTACAGGGCTGGAAAATTATCAGTTGTAGTTTTAACTTTATCTGTTAAGGATATATCAGTACTGAACAAATAATATGCCCTGATTCAGAGGTGTAGCCCTGGAGGGGTAATCTTTCAGAAAGGAAGTGAAATGTAATAATGACATTCTGTGTGATGTGGAAAACCCACAAAGGTAAGTGTATTAATAGAAGTTTTCTGCCTGTAGTAAATCTTGGGTAACTGGACTATTTGAATGCAAAGTCCCTTTAATGTTGAATGTATTCTATGCCTTTCATAAGAGACTGTAGGGGTCACCAAAATTTAATGCAGTAAAATAATGGAAATCTTTAAAGATGAAAGCTGCTTTGCTGTGCAGTTACCGTCTAGTGCATTGTATTGTGAAAGTATTTATAACTGAATGAACTATGCGTTAAACACGTGTGTTTTTCTTCTCCATGTTTGTGTCATAAAAAATAGGAGGTGTTTGCTTTCCCTGAGTGCTCTACTCGGTGTGGTTTCAGCAGATGGCAGCAGTGCTGAGGAAAAATTTGTTAAGACAGGAGGGTAAGAAGGAGAGGAGAACTCTTCAGGTCTTAGAAGTTAATTATGCTTTTAACTAAAAATTTTGAGTGAAAGTTTGAATAAATTGTCTCAGCACTCTTGGCTTTTCTCTGTTTCCAGAAACATATTGTAATATGATACAAGTCAGAGCAGCTTTTATCTCTGTAAAGAGTGAAACTTAATACATTGAGAAAAATAACTGAAGGAAGAATCCTGAATGTCACATTAACAATGAATAGTGAATAGCTATTTTCAGTGCATTTGCTACTACTTTGATTTGTGATATGGTACAAAGAATAGTTCCAATTATAAATTCTCTGTACTGTGAAAAAGCCTTCCTTAACTTTGGTGCTCTTTCAGATTTACTCCAAAAATCAACATCCATCCTTTTTGTACCAGGGTGATAACTATTGCACTCTGACTTCCTGGGAAGTTTAAAATTTGTTCATAAATTAGTTTTATCACCACTGCAGTGTTTCCAGGCATGCAGATTTTGAAGCCTAGCACATTGTTTTCCTTGGAAGAAATTCCTGTGGTCCTCCATAAGGAGGAATAAGATCTCTTTGGAGTTTCACATTTTAAAAGGCTGTAACTGTGGTGTTCTTAAAGCAGGTCCATTACATGGTGCTATTTCCAGAGCTATCCTGAAATATAAGCACCTATAGGAGTGCTTGCAGTGCCACAGACTTCTTTCCTCTGTCTGTCCTTAGAGATTACCTGTAGCAGCAAGTTATGAACATACATTTATTAGTTCATCCCCATGACCAGCATTAGATATTGAAACTACTTAAGCAAGTCTGTTTTGTGTTCAGTAAACTTCTCCTGTGGCTTTCAAGGAAATAAATAAATAGTGCAGAGTGATTGAAACAAGTAACCTCTGTACTGATGCATTCATCATATCAAAATCAGATATTATTCCAGTTTTATGCCTCTTAAAGATTTTGCTATAACTAAAAAGTATATTCTGAATATCAGCAGTGTCAGCCATGACTTTGCTTTGGCTGTGTCCTTTCTATAATAAGAATTGTGTGTAGCAGTCTGATTGCCATACTTTCTTTATCGACTCTCAGTTTGGTTTGGGGTTTTTTCCCCCCTGATTAACAGGTATTTACATTCCTGAAGAAAAATAGTTACTTGAAAGGGTCCCTTAGCTGTTTCAGGTTATATGTGGGGGCAGAATTTCAGGTAATACTGCAACTCATTTGTGTGTGAATGGGCTTTTGGGAAGAAAGAACAAGAGGGATACCTTTGTTTGTAACTGCCGGTGCGTTTGCATTTTAAGGTATTGTAGGGTAAACAAATATTAAAAAAAGCTGCCTTTTATAAGTAAGACACTTGAAAAAGACAGAAACTGGCAACAGGCAGGTATTCCTGGGAGAGCTGTTTCTGGAAGAGCATAGTTATACAGCCGTCTTGTAAACCAGGGTGACTTCATCTGTCTGATGTTCTGTAATGGTGTGTTTCTATATTCTGTTCTTATCAAAGATCTGCTTTTTATTCCAGTATATTTCCATATCCTGGGTGACTGGTTTCTCTAGTTTGTCTTGAACAGTTTAAATGTTTCGTAAAATCAGAAATACTTCTTGTGGCACATAGAAGCATTGAAGTGATCTGTTCTTCATGTATATGTGAAGATTCCATTGAGTTCACATTCTTCTCATACAAAGTGCAAAAATAAAACCTCCCTACTTCTCTTTCAGTGGTCTTTTTTCTTATTGCATAATCATGTATGAAGAATTTCTGTTGATGCATTCATATTTATTGTTTTGTTCAGTCTTAAATTTATGAATATGAAAAGGTGAATAGCTCTTCAGAGATTAGCTAATGGCTGTAGCATATGGCAGTTCCAAATCTGTTTGTAAAAACAGCCTTTTCTAGCAGACTGTTAAATCTTAAAAAGATATTCCTCTTTTTCACACGGTTATTATACCATATATATTATATATATGGTATAATTATTATTATATATATTATTATAATTATATATATTATATTATATATAATTATATATTATATTATATATATTATATATTATATTATATATTATATTATATATATTATTATATATATTATTATACCATACTAATAAGATCTAATCTTAAATAAATTTCTTATTTATTTTTCATGCTGGATTGAGTAACATTTCTAGTTCCATTTTCAGTAGCACTTTCCTGAAGTCTTGCTTCCAATGGCTCTGCTTTTTCAGGTGAAAATACTGACACAGAATGAGAATAGCAAGCTGCAAGCTGCTCTTGTGAGCAACTTGAAGAGTGCAGTCACAGCAGCCTTTCTCATGTTACCAGAAAGCTTCTCTGAAGAAGACCTCTATATGCAGATTGCAGGACTCTCCTACTCTGGTTAGTACATGGTGTCTGAAGTCACTGAGGAGAAAAGCTGTAGCTGGAGCTGTTGTACCACATTTGGAAGTCTCATGTGTAATAAATCACTGGTCGTCTTGCTTTGGGCCCACACCGCTGCATGCTCCAAAAATTCTATCTGAATGCTGTGTTCCGTAGCAGCTCCAAAAGAATAATTGGGCTTATTCTTAGGAAATAGGTGTAGGTACCTAAACAAAGCTTCTTTTACCTGCTTGAACAGCTAACTATGAGTGACTGAATATGATGAAATAATGTGGGTTTTTTTTCTGTTTGTATGGATTGTATTCTGGTTTAGTGTTTCAAAACCTTGGAAAAAAATTTCTTTCCGCTCTCAGTGTAACATTGAGTCATCTGATAGTCTGACTCATACCTTGTCATCTCTTACTTTTGGAGTGTGATGTGTTTAAGGTTCTTATTTAGTTAACTTAAGGATCCAGATTATGATTCTTCAATGTATATTTAACATTCACCTCCTGGTTAGTATTTGTTGACCTTTTTTAATTTGCTAAGAGAATTTCCTCCTTTCTTTAGTTAGGAAGTGGGTATGGAAAACAATTGAGGAAACTACTGCAAATGGCTCTTCAGTGTAAGATTTAGTTGTTACAATTGAATTCAGCATTGCTTTTCTAAATGTTGATATCCTTATTGAAATCACTGTGAACAAGTTTGATTCCTTTATGCAGCACTTCCTTTGCTTGTGTAGAAATGCAAGTTTGGCTTTAAAAAATCACAGGTGGGCAGGTGGGGGTTACAAGCTGCAACTTGGCTGTACTGAGGAGTGTTACTGTTCTTTAAGTAATACTTCCCTGGGCAGTTTAGGTTGCAGCTTTTTCAACCTTTCCGTAGTAGTTTTTTTCTGAATTGTTGGCTGTTTTAAAGTGACAGTAAGAGGGTGCTGACAGTGGGATTGCCAGTCAAGGCTGTTTGCTGCAGGGCTGCAGACCTGTCCTGCCCAGCTGAAACCTGCCCAGCGATGACATTGCATTCTTGGTGGGCACCAGTGACCAAGATACTTTTTTATATAGTTTTTGAAACAGTGCAATTAAACGGAAACATGGGAGATCAGTTACTATGCTGCAAGATGTTGAAATGGGCTCTGCTGTGTGAACTAAGCTAAAGCAGTAAGATTCCCAGTTGGGAATGTTCAAGGAAAAGGCTGTTGATTATATGTTTGTGGATATTTTATTTTGCTGCCATTTTGTTAAGTCTTTCAGAGGGTATACTAGTAGACAAAACTGATTTTATGTGTTACTCTAATTAGTCTCCTTGGAGACTGCTGAAAAGGGTTGTTCATGCTTGAATTTAGAAAATGGGCATCCTTTATTTTTTTTATGCATTTTTTGAGAGCAGTGAGTCAGTACCATTTATGTGCAAAGTGTTTGTTTTGTGGCTTGGCATAAATTGAAATAAACTAAGTAAGGCTAGCGAGTTGCCATCTTTCAATAAAATGTATCTCCTGAATATGGGAAGTGGGAAAATAAATTGATTCAGGATTTTGTTTGTTGATACACGCTGCACTGAGCCTATATCTCCTGGTTAGAAACCCAAGAAGTTACCAGGCTGGTACCTGAGGTAGAGGAATGCTTTATTACATACTACCTGTCGTTTCACTTAATCTCTCTGAAACTTTTCAGTCATGTATCAGAAGAGGAAGTGTAAAGATCAGTGATGTGACAGTGGTGTTAAAAGCAGTTGCTTTTTGAGAGTAATAGCAAAACACATGGCTAAGAGGAAAAGATAATACAGTGATTTTACCATGGCTGCCATTAGGTGAACTTCAGGTACTGCCCTTGAAGTGCAGAGACAATGCAAATTATTTTCTCTCAATATTGAAAAATTAAGCTTATTTGTTTGTAGATAGAAAGTATTAGAGATGGTCAGTTTGTTCAGTAATCTGTTAAAATGGATGCATAATTGCAAAGAGTGTAACTGCTACTGCCACTTGACAGCCAGACTTACTTTGTTGTCCAAGTGAAGATGTGGACATATGGGCTGATGATATTACAGCATATCAGAGGCCACATGACAATATTTGACTCCAAGCACATATTTTCTGTGCTTAAAGATACTTTAATAGCTTTTTGACTACTAAAAGTGAACCTTATTGTCAATTGTATAGGCATTGGTAGAATTGAAGAATGAAGTTTTAGATGACAGGGAGTTATCTAGAGCTTTTTACTGTATTGATTTCTGTTATATTCTCCTTCTATGAGTCTTTGGGTTTTTCCTAATGAATTAACTGTTTCTCTTTTCTTGACTAGGTGATTTCAGAATGATAATAGGAGAAGACAGATCGAAAGTGCAGAACATAGTGAAACCCAACATTCCCCATTTTCAGAAGCTGTACAGTAACATATTACAGGACTGCCCTCAAGTGGTATATAAGCACCATCTGGGAAGGCTAGAGGCAAGTGTTCTTCAAAACATTTTTAAAACAAGCAGGTGGAAGTGCTTTATCACATTGACAGAAAGCAGGAATTAGGCCATGCACTAAGTAGGGCAGTTGTAGTCACTGTATTTGCTATTTGTTATGTTTCTGTTGTTAATTCTGCAACCAGAAGATTTGCCTTTAATACCAGTCTCTGCATATGTAGTAGCCACTGCTCATTTTCTTTGAATATGGGCACAGAACTAGAGCCCTAGCAAGGGAACAAGAGAAGATCATTGTAAAATGTGTGTTCTAATGACTACCACATGGAAACAACAGTCTAGGAAGTGATGAATGAACATATGGTTTGTGTTAAAAAGATTAGGCTGTAACTCAGAGGTGCAACGTTCCACAATCAAAAATTGCATCTCACAAAAAACCTCATAAAGTGCTAGTTGTGAAGATCAGCTGACTAAACCCAGGTGAAACTCTGGCATTAGCTTTGAATACCTATCCTAAACCATTTTTATCTTCAGTATTTGGGAAATCCAAAATGACCAGTATCTTGAATTCCATCTTTCTGGTATAACAATGGAATTAGGGGAGAGATGCCGCAGTCAGGGGTTTTGTAACAATTTCTCCTCTTGTAGTTTGCCATGTCCATGGGTGAACATTCAAGTGTGATATAAACTTCAACATGAAGTTACAAATAGCACAGGTTGTCTCATGGCTTCTTTATCCTCAAGTCACCTTGGTAATTATCTCCCAAACGCCTCCTTTTAGGATGTGTCTTTGTTAGAAATTGATATAAGTACAGTTTTAAGCAGACTTGAGTACAGTTAAAAATTGTACTGCAGTGCTTTGGAGTACAGCATAGGCAGATCTGTCTTACACTGCAGCTGCCTCCATGTTTTCTGATCAGTGTGCTCTTCAACAGTTTAGTGGAAGAAATATTTATATTAATTCTGAAAAGGATCCGTAATGCTTTTTTCAAAAAAAAGGTTAGTTACAGTAATACTTGCTGTTGTTTACCTTTAAACAAATTTGATAGCATACTGCAAATATGCTGTTGGATAATAAATCTGTCCATAATTCCACAGTTGTCATCAAGGCTGTTGATTAAATGACATTATTTCACTGTTGATTTAAAGCAAGGTGCTTTAATACTCTATTGCTCACACCTTGGTGTGATTATTGGCAGTTATTCCCCAGACTGAGGTGGATGTCTGCTCTCAGGAGTGCAGTTCAATACAGAATAGAACCCCCTTCTCCAAGTATATGTCTTCAGAGCTACAGAGAAAATTATTTCTTAAAAGATTCCTCAAGACCAATTGAAGACAGACACTGGTTCTCACAGTTTTGGTTCAGGCGTGGATTCCTCCCACATAATGTTCAGAGCCTGCTCATCGTCGGCTGCCTCTGTAGTGATTCATCTGGAGATCATTTTCTCCACACTGACAAAAGGGAGTGTATAGGGGAACTAGACTCCTGTCTGATGTCTCCATGAAGTGTCTGAAATGTTGTGTGGGAGGAATTGAGCTCTTCATATTTTCCTCCAGTTTTGGAGAAATCTGCTCCATCATGCATTTTTCAGTGTTTGTGCTTACACTGTGTATAAATATGTACAAGCTTGTATGTTGGTATTGTTGTGTTCAAAAAAGGGTCCTTGAATTTCTGATTCAGATTGGAAAATGTGGAATGAATGTTTTCTTCAAATTATGCAAACCACATGTGGTTTGAGTTTAAAGCAGAGAAAATGGTTTTCAAACTAAACTTGAAATGTGTGTGTCTACAGTTTGATTATATTCAGGCAGAAGAAACTGAGCTAAATGGTCTTTTGGGAACTTTTTTTAAATTGTAGTGTACTTATGTTTCCAAAGGAAATTGGATATAACAGAAATGATACAGTTTCAATGAAAAGGCACTTACAGAGACAGGAAGATCATGTGTGTCTTTAATAAAGATTAACATCTTCACGTTGAGTTATTCTTCAGGTTCTGAACTGCATTTCCCTATGCTTGGAAAGTTTTCATAAGCAATGTCCATTACTTATACTAGTGAAATAGGTTGGGTTCTGAGAGACATTTATCAGAGGTCAAAGGTAACCAGAAGAATTTTCAGACTCCTTTAAGAAAGAGAACTGAATGTTTTTTTCTATCTTATTTTTTATAACATTCAGATTGATAAAAGTCCAGAAGGTCAATTTACACAACTAATGGCTTTGCCAAAGACTCTGCAACAAAAGATAACTTCTCTGGTAAACCCTCCTGGAAAAAACAGAGATGTGGAAGAAATTTTACTGCAAGTTGCCCATGACCCTGACTGTGGATTTGTGGTGCATCAAGGTAGGCCTAACCAATGTCTGTAACCTTTTTTGAAGACACAGTAAGATACGAATCTGTTGTATATGTTTTCCTATTTCAGAAGGATGGTTTAAAGAGAAGGGTGAAAAAAACCAGGAGATTAATCATGAAATACCTTCTTAAAAACATGGGTTTGGATTTCTTTGATTGCAAACAAGTTAACTGAAAAACTAGCAAATAGCATTCCTACTGATATAGGTAGATATGTTTTGGTTTGGGTCCTGAAAGAGACAGTCTTTAGGGATTAGTGTGGCCTGCTTAGACCATCTAACTCTGGGGTGCTTACACCTTTAGACATAACTTCATCAAAATACTGAGCTATGTATCGTACCAGTCACACATTGCAAGGATGAGCTAATTTTCTGTCTTGCTGACATTACCCTTCCCAGTCAGGTTGGTTAGTCCAGACATGTGAGCTCTGGCAGAGAACTCCAGCTTTAAGGTAAAAGATTGAGGTGTGTCTCATCACCACAGCTGCTCTGAGGCAGGATCATGTCATAGGAGCAAGTTAAAGCTAATGCTGCAGACATCAATGTTTTTATTATGCTGCAGAAAAAGGAAAATGTTTAGTTCTTGAAGTCTTCTACATAGTTAAGAACTTGACATGTTTTTTAGTTCCAGGTAGCAAATTTTGCAAGCTCTTTGAGCACAGCAAAAGTTCCCTATACTGGGAGCCACCAGACACTATCCAACTGCTGCAGGAGCTTTTAGACTGTTTTCTGTTTGGGGAAATGAAGCTCCTGAGAGTTGCAGTTCTCCATTGGCAGGGGAGGATGAGTGGCATCTGGACATGGAGCACCTTCTGTGCTGGGCTGCAACAGTAACAGGACAAAAGCTGAAGCCGGGAGAAGTGTTGTGAGTTGCACATGATTTTAGAGCTCCAAGGTATCCACCCTGAGCTCATTGTCCTTGTGGCTGTGTTTGTGTAGGGTCTTGCAGGCGTGGCTGGGACTGTGCACAGTGGTGCAGCACTTCAGTATCAAAACACTGAATAGATCTGGTCTTGTCAGGCCAAGCAGTTTAAACTCTTAGGAGAACAAAACCCCCCTTTTACTTTCGTGGCCAAAAGATTTTCCTAATTCATCACTCTGGGTGAAGGCCAGGACAAGCCATTTGGGAATCCTGGAAGGCAAAGCTGATAACTCAGTTGGAATTGCATTATCCCTAGCTATTTTGCTAGATCAATGTGATTTCTTCCTTTCCCCTCCCTACCCCTCAAATTATTTTCAGTGGAACATTGTATCCCTCTTACTTATTAATGGATTACACTAAAGTTTGTTCTGTATTATGGAAGTAGCTTTGAAAGAAGAGTTTAAATGTATTTGAAATTAGATTCTAGGTTGTTAACACAGAATAATATCTTTTAGTTTGGAAGCCTAACTCAGAGACTACTGCATTTCTACATTTTTTAAAGTATTTAGTAACGTGCAGTACTTTTTTACATATCAGTGTGCTATTATGTGTTAGAACAAATATAACAATACTTCTGAAAAAAAAAGTTCTCAAGTTTTATATACTATTCCATTAATACCTAAGAACCACAGACAGTGAGAACTGAATGTGGCACAGTGCAAAGTGGCAAATGAGCCTTATCTTTAAAAGCTGATAATTTAGAAAAGCCAGACAAGCACTGCACAATAGTGACATCACTACTTGATCAGAGAAGTGCAAAATCCCAATTTCATTTTAAAGTTATCATGAAGTGTAATTTGTTCTGCTCTAGAATGTTGATATACCAGCACTTAGATGAAACAACCCTGAATCCTTTATGACTAATCATCTTAGTAGAGATGTAATGGGACCCTAAATACATTTATTTGATCAATTCCTACTGGTTGTTGTCTGTTTTAATATTGATTTGGGTTTTTTTCCCCATATGTTATATATAAAATAAATTAAAATAGCTTAGGGAATATTCTGAATTAATATGACAAAGCAGAGCAGAAAAAACATTCTCAGCATAAGTGTTTGTTTTACTTTCAGGCTGGCTTGATTGTATAAATGGAATAATATTTGACTTGTGTATGTTGGAGGGTAAAAAAAAATCCCTGCAAAACTGCTAAGATGGGTAACATCTGTGTGCTTTTCTCTCTGCAGGCATTTCAGGAATTGTGAGATCCTCCAGTATAGTGCAGAGTGTTAAAACCATACTGACAGCTGGTAAGAATGTGTGTGATTTCCATCAACACAGGTCTTCTAATTTCACAAAGGAAAAATTACAGGGCCCCAAGACTATCTTGTTACAGGAGTTTATTCTTTAACTTTTTGTGCATTTAATTGAAAGCCCCTGGAAGATAAAAGTAATATTTAAAGCAGAAGATTTATTGTAACTATTGCAAAATTGTAAAATGCTAAAGGGAACTGGAGTCTGTGCAACTTGTAAAAAAATAAACAAACAAACCCCCAAACAACCCAAAAGAAAAAAAAAACAGCTTCTGAGTTCAGTTTAACTTTCTGTGCAGGCCAGATCTGGCTGATGTGTACTAGTTCTGCACTTTTTGTATTAAAAAGGCTTCATGCTTTCTTGAAGTTGCTTAAATAATTTTCTGAACTCATTCATACCTGTTCCTAGTTCTTCCATAAAAGCAATTATATAGAAATGATGCCAGTACTGGTTTTAAAAGCAACTACAGCAGTTCCTGCTGAGCAATCCTTATCCAGACTTCTACAGCAGCTGTTCCCCTCCATTGGTGTTGGTGACTCCATGTTATACCTCCTACCCCTTGTAAAGAAACACAGGTTTCAGTGTTCAGGACCATTACAGGTCTGCTGAGTAAAATAAGCAGGAACAGTTTTACTTTTTATATGCATCTGTTATTAGTTTAGTTCTATTAACTGGAAGAAGTCTGACAAAACTATTGCCTAACTTTTAGTAGCTGGAGGAGACATAACTCCATCTAAGTAAAGCAATTTTGTTATTTATCAATTAAGCACATGGCAGATGTTAGTTTCTAATGTAAGGTTTCCAACCAAAAAAAGGTACATTTTTCTTCTAGGGTTTGTTGTCAAAATTACCTGCTAGTGGTCAAGAATTCTGGTATTATAACGTGCCTTTTTAAAGATGTCAGCTTGCATCCTATCTGTTTCTAAATCCATGGACCGTAGTGTTTTTAGTGAAATAATTGTAGGGAAGGGGTCAAAGACACTGTTATCCTGTTGAATCCAGTGCTTGGGAAAGTTATCCTGACTGCCCAGTAGGGCAAAGCTGTTTGTGTATAACTTCAAGAGCAGGGATAGAGGTAATTGATCTTTCTAGATTATTTATGCTCTCCTTCTGTCTGTTCTGATGGACAGAAAATCACCTTTGGGAGTTGTTAGCTTCTTTTGAGTGTCATGCAGTCAATCACTTACAGCCTGTGTTGGTACTGGGACTGTTGTGGGGTCCTAATGCATCTTCTGGTAGGACTTGTGATTCTTACCATGTTTTCTGCTTCTGCATGTGAAACTAGTTATTTGGGAAGTGCCTTTACTTTCCTTTGTCTTAACTGCTTTTTGCTTTATATATAGTGGCTTTTTTTCCCCTTTAAAACAAACTCTAGTTGTCTCCTAACCAGCCAGTTAGAGTAACACTCATATTTAAAACCATGTATTTTCTACTGGTGGTTTTAGTGTTGAAAACATATTTCTGTGGTTTGATTCAGGTAAAGCAAAGCAATTTTGATCCTTTGCCTGAAGTACAAGCCAAATTTGAGCAAGGAGGCCCTGGGGGAGTTGATTTTTCTTATTTCTAGTATAATTTAGTTCCTTTTTTTAAAACATATTTACACTCTTCTGCCAGAACCTGGCTGAAACCATTTGCAACAGAATTCAGCATTGATGGATTTTTCAGATGTGAGGTTTGTATGATCTTAAGTGATTTTCCCTGGAATTGAGGATTGAGGAGGAATGGGTGTCCATGGGTTTAGGAGTTAGTTAGTAAAACCTTTTTGATTGTAGGGGTTTTTTTTGTTTTGGTTTGGTTTTTTTTGTTGCATTTTTTTTTAATATTCCTCCCCAAACAGTTATGATTATGTTAAATCTTGCTGTATCTTCCAATGAAGATTTTCTCTCAAGTACAGTTTCTTCATTTCAAAATGCATTCCCAGGGCAGCATTAGTGTTGCTGCCGTGGCTGTGCCAGTCCTTGGGGCTCTCCATGTTCCTGAAGATGCAGAATGTCCACAACACAGTGTGTCTCCTACCTTGGAGGAGTTTGCGTGACTCATGCAAGGAATGTGTGTTACAGGAAAGTGTGGAGCTTTAAATTCAATCCCTAAGGATGCCATATTTCTTTCTTCATTCTTTGTCCAAATCTTGTCTCATATTCTGTTCCCCTAAGACCTATTTTCACACTTTCTAGTAGAGACTTTAGGAAAAGTATATGGGTCTTGTTATAAGTTAGTATAAGAATTTAGACAACTCAATTCCAATTAAACATTGATAAATTTATTAAGCAAGTGATAATAAAGCAAAACAGCGCTGGGTGGCCTGGAGGGCAAGTGCCCTGCCAAGGCACACACAAAATGTAGTAAATGTTCCTTTTTATGCATTTCCAAGTCCCGAGTTTTGAATGCGGCTGCGTTGAGGCTTGAGTTTGTAGCTCATTTTTAAGTGGTCATCTGGCATTTGTCAGAGATGAAAGGTGCAGTTTCTTATCAGTTGTAAATTTTACTGATACTGATACTTGTTTGTTTAGCAAGATGTCTGCAATTATTTTTACTGACACTTGCTTGATTAGCAGTATGTCCATGAAACTTATCTTGTTGAATTATAACAAAAATTCCTTATTCCTTCATACACATAAGATTTTATGAACAAAGTTAACCCTTCTATTACAGGTCTGACCTTCTGCAATGCTTATATCAAGAACAGTAGCTTAAAATAAGAGAATTATTAAAGAGATTAATGAAATCTGTGGCTTCATTTTATAAGCTCTGACTTTTTTTTTGCTGTTTCTAGTAACTGTACAAATAGTTTGAGCAAGAATTAGATTTTACTACCTGGCCATCGTTCTTTTTGGAATGTAAGGGAGGACACGATATCTCTTTTCCTTAGCTGATTGTTTTACCTTAACATTAAAAGAAGTGAAATGCCTTCTCTGGTCCATAGCATGGCTGTCCAGTGTACAGCATATTATTTAATTGAATGTTAAAAGTTAAATCAGCAATAGCTGTGCTGAGATGGCATGCTGGGTATTAACAGTATTGACAAGGAGCATAAGCAAAATAAAGAATTTCAACCCATTTAAGAGAACTTTTTACATCTTTCTCTGCCAATGTGGTTTTGGAGCTGAGCTCCAGCTCTGTGTTTTTGTTTGTTGTTAAATGCCCTATTTAGTTTTTGAAAATCCGCCTGTGGATTTCTTTGAGTCTGTGGTGAGGTTGCCTCTCTGTTTCTCATTAGAGATGGCACCATGGTTTGATTTGTTTTCCCACATAGCCAGAGTTTGCATGGTCTTTGGGAACTAACTCTGCAGCTCTCATATTTAGCTCTTCTGAAGGAGATGTTGGTACTTACTTAGCTTGGATTTCTTCTTTATATTTCACTCGAGGAATGCTGCAAGCCTTGAGAATCTTCCTGTAAATACAATACTGTGAATTAAATCATCAGTTGAAGCGTTTGTTCAAGATACTTTTAAGTTAACACAAATGCTCTGAATAACATTTGTTTTCTTAGAATTGAGATATTAGTATATTAATCCTTGTGTGTTCAAGGGTTCTTTTAAACTTAAAGGATCATGTAAAATACTCTGTAGAGTTCGGATAACTGATATCTTCATCAGCTGCCTGAGCATTGCCACCAACTTCACTGTAAATACGTGTAAATTTGCATGTGTCTGTGCATGTCACACTATTGATATGTAACTCTTTGCCTCCACACTGCAGCTCTTCAGCAGTACATACATCAGCCTTTCTTTTTAAAAGTAAGTAAAGAATACTACAGCCAGGCATATCTACCAGGAAACTTTGGGGGACTTACAGCCAAATTGCTGTCTTACAACACTAACACTTCCAAAAAACTCGATGTGGATTGCTAAGTAAAACCAGATACAACTTGTGTTTACACTGAGATGCTGTGGTCTTGGTCCCATGTGCATTAGGCCTTTGTTCTGTATCCTATAGTGGAAAAATTTGAAGGGGAGGTGGAACCACCAAGTCATAGATTCATAGCTGAAGTAGAAAGACATTTTTATGTGGGTTGACTGCTTCAGATTCTGAGACTGAGCCATAATTACAACCATTAACTTTTACTACAGATGTGACTCATCACCCTGAGGGCTGCTTTAAGAAACCAGCTGTAGGTATAAATGTGCATTTTCCTTTGCAGGCTGATGTGCTGGGGCAGAAATGTAAGCATCTCAATAAGCCTTTGGTGGGTGGAGTTCAGTGGAGTGTTCCCTGCAGGGGGAAAATAGGAAAGAGAAAAATCTCTTTGTGTTGAGCAGCTTCAGGAGGAGGGTAAGTTGGCAGGCTGGTAGAACAGGCTGACTTGCAGGCTGCAGTGCCAGCACAGTTAATTCCAGTCCTGCAGGGCTGAATCAGCTGTGCTGCTGCTGGTCTGCCACATGTTATACTGCGCTTCCACAAGTACTCCAACTTCACTGGAATGACACAACAGCATCAATCCTGTCGGGGCAGTTCCCATATTGGAGGGGCTGGATCCTGCATGGACAGTACCTGGGAGACTGGACAGTCACTTTCAGAGCCATACACACAGTTTTAACTTGGGAGATTGGAATCACTTCTTTCATTTATGTGCTATGCCCGAGCTCAGCCTGGCCTTGTTCTGCAAGTGGAATTCTTACTCTGTGTGCAATTCCAGTGTGGATGTGTGAGTCGCCTCAGAATTTACACCATTATTCACTTGTTATTTGAGGTGCTGCAAAAAAAAGCCTGTCATGACTACAGTAGTGTGCTCGCTTTTGCAAAAACTATTACTTGTAGAAAAGTTTGAGCATACATATGGGATACAGTGGGTTTGTAAGTTCAAAATACAGGTATGGGTTATTTCTTAAAAAAGGTAAAGCTGACCTTATTTAAATTGCAGTTAGAGGCATGAGAAGTGCAAAACTGATTCTATACAATGGATTTGCTATCACAAGATTTTTACCCTGTTACATTCCTCCAGAAACAGAGCATGCACCTTCCCTTATTACTGCATACTCGTTTGACTTCTTGCTACTCTAGACTGTCAATATTGAATGTATCTTTTCACTTGAAATATTTTATCTTCATTTGATTGCTTTCTAAGGTCTTTTTCAAATTAAAAATTATCATATCCTCCTCTCCTCCCTCTCCCCCCAAAAAGACCAGTGCAGTAGATGGCTAAACCTGGGGTGCTTGTTCCAGAATACCTTTCCCTGTGCTCTGGTCTGTCACACTGTGTGCCTTCTGGCTAAATTGCTTCTGTGTATTTTTGCTCAGTCTTGTCAGGTGTTCAATTAGATAAACATAAGAAAGATTTCAGTAAGTATAATGTACCATACTTTTGACCTCTGCATTTAAGTGTCAAAGCTTTTTGTGCAGCATTACAACCTTGCCTTTTCAGTTTTGAATTTGTAAGGGTGTGATTGAACTGTGTTGTAAGCTGAAAAGTCACTGTGTCTTATGTTGTTTTTTTGTTTATTTGTTTTGGGGAGTTTTTTAAACAAAAAAAGATGGAATATGAAAAAATAAGTAGCTCTACTTGCTAGGATCTCAGAACCCCACTGAAATGCCAAAAGTAACAGTATTTTGGTTTTAAGTGTACAAATACTAGATGACTAAACTCAGCAAAAGGCTGTGTCTTTTGTTTATTCTAGGTCTGTAATAGACTGCTCATCTCTGGTAGAACTTAAGTGTTTAAGGGTGGACTTCACAAATTTTCTGGGAGTCATCCTCAGTCCCTTCATGTCTAAAACTCATAAATGCTTGGAGGCAACAACTGCTGCTGTATCTTCATGAAAACTGAGACAGGCCTGCCTTCACTGTGGGCTCAGTGTGATGGTGTGGTATTTACCAGAGTTCACTGCTTGTGTGAGTGCTAGAGTATGGCAGCTGTTCTGGCTTCATATGAGGTTTGTTATAAACAAATGACAGCAGGTTATTCTGAAGGAAAATTGGTCCAGACAACATCCCTGTGACACTTTTCAGACTGAGGTCCATGGTACACCTCTGATATTGGCAGTGTCTCCAAGGTACAGCTGCTTGTCATCTTCTCGTTGTTTTGGCTGCTTTCAGTTCAGCTGGCCACGTGCCTTACCTGCTGTTCCAGGCCCATCTTTTCAGTATCATCTCCTAAGCAGATGGATTGAGCAGTTTCATTCTCTTGCAGGTGTGCCATTCTCTGAGTTAGGAAATGGTTCCTGCCCTTAGTTGGCATGAGGCAATAACAAAATATTCAAGGAAGTTACAGTGTACTTAACAGCTTGTTGAAACCAGAACAGATTTGCACCTTAACAGTCAGCAACACAGTTCCTATGAAGAACCCAGATGTCTGTTTTCACTTTTAATTCACAAGCCTTTGTATAGCAGTGCCTGGGCTGCTAATGGTCTGCAGGGTTTGATTAAACATGTAGTTGAGGTAGGCATCAGCATGGTGCTTCTCAATTCTAGCTGTACAGTTTGTCTCCAACAAGGCAGGCAGGTGCCCAGTGTATGGCACTAAGCACAGCTGTCTAAAATCTGCTTGGCACCAGGAATTGGCCCAGGAGAGGGTGGAAGTGCAGAGCTTATTGTCTACCAGTCATGTGGACTGTGCGTGTCATGCTTGAGTGGGATGTTCTTTTGTCCTGATTCAGCCCTCTCACTCCTTCCCCTTTATCCCTTCAGTAAAAGTTTGCCTGCATAGCTTTGGGCATAGCTTGAGGTTCTTCATCTAATCTCCAGAATCTGGCGGTTGGGCTCCTGTCTCAGGAGCCAAACTGCTTTGACAATTGGATTCTCCTCACAGACGTGGCCAGCTAAATAACCTGCCTGGCTAATGAACAGCTGGCATTCTCCAGCCAGTCCTGCTTCGATGTCCTGCTGCAGAGTGGAAGCTGGCAGGTTGCTGGTGTCCGTTACCAGGACAGAGTGGAATCCTACTCAGCTGGACATACCTTGCAGTAGATGAGAAAGGGCTTGAAAAAGCACAGTGTATTAGTTTGGTGAGGATCTGCAGTACACACAGGTGGGTTAAAAGCCTTCCTGTATGCAGGAAGCATTTAGAAACAGTGATGTGAATGAGAAGTTTCCTTCTGTGCCAGTTAATTGTTTTAGCAGGAATCTCTATGTTTGATATCCCTTGGTTATTGTCTGTACAATTTGCTTGTATACAACATTTGTCAGGCCTTCAGAATGAACCTGTTTATTGTACATGCTTTGATACTATTAAAAGGGTTTCTTTGTGTCATTATCTACTGTGTTATGAAGGTTATTTGCATATCTGCCTGGTGGATTAGGTTGTCTTTCCTCCATAGAAATACCTCACTTGCTGTAGTAAAAACCTATTATCTGAGTCAGCCTTCCTAAATGTTTATATTTTTCATATTGTCTTTTTTTTTTCCCCTCCTTTTGTTTTTAGGGGCAAAGAAATCTGTAACTTACAGTATGAAGAAATTATATAAAATGACAAAGGGATGGATAAGGAAGACATCTTGAGTCTTGACATAGTATGTATGGGTAAATAAATGGTACTTTTTCTCTAAATATTTTGCAGATGGCACTTTGAATACTCGAGGAGATTGCAATGCATTTAAGAAGTCTGTTCTAATGATTTACATGCCCAATTTTATGAATAAAATAGGAACTTTTTAATGGGAGAAGGTTTGCTGATAATAGGGCAAAGGAATTCTACTCTGCAAATACTGAAATGTATTTTCCTGTATACTAGAGCTTGGATTTTCAGAAACCCCTTAGTAAAAAGAATTGATTGTACATGAGTTAAAACCCAAAGCCACTCATTTTGTATGTATTGCTAGCTTTATTTTCCAAAGTACCCTCAGGCTCTTTCAAAATAATCAAGTTCTTTCAGGGACTTATGGAACTGGAGAGCCCACTGAGTTGTATGTAGATATGAAACTGTCCTTTCACATTTCTGCACTGACAAGTTCATCCTTAGAATTCTTCTGAGGGTCCTCACTGGATGCTTCTGCAGGGCAGACCTCCTGGAAAGTACATTTTTTTTCATGTGTGACCTTCCAGAAAGTTCCACAGTGACTTTCAGTGTGGGAAAAAGAAATGAGCAGCTTGTCAGGTGTCAGGTTCCAATCCTGTCATGAAAATCCTTTTATGAGCCCGAGATGAAAACTGCTTAACTCATGGCTCAGCCTTGTCAGAAGAGCCAGAGTTGGAGGGAAAATCATCATTCCATGGACCTACTTGTGCGGACTTATGAAATATGTGTTGTTTGGCAAAAGATTCTATCACAGCACTTTGAAGTTGGGAATATTATGAACAAAAGCACATATTGTGTGATTCTTTGATTCCTGCCCCCCCCCAATACCGTCCACAAAGGTGAAACTTGTTTTCCCTTTAAATTAGCTAAACTAAAGAAAATTGGAGTTTCACATAACATGTCAGTCATGCCATTAAAAGTGGACATTTCTAGCAGTTTTCATGTGAGACGCAGTAAATTTGGAGGATCTTTTGTAAATAGAATATTTTTCACACTCAGGTGGGTTTCGTACTTTGGGAAGTTTATCTTATTAGAAATAAATTGAGACAAGATTTAATTTTGTTTGTGAAAATGTCAATGATAAAAATAATTTAATGGTAAAAAATGTAAATAAAATGTATCTTTCCTGATTAGCATGTATTTTTTTTCTTGTGTATTGCCTGATCAGTAGGGTTATCTCAAGCTACATTTAATTTAGTGATTTCACTTAAATTATTGGAATGAAGTTGTCTGCTAAGTGTTTTCAGGGAGCAGTTCAAAGCATGAATTTAAGAAATACAACAGAAGTAATACGACTCATGCAGGCTTACTTTAATCATAGGAAAACTTTAAAATATTGATTATTTTTAAATATTTGAGTTTGAAATTTTAACCCAGAGTTAGGAAATAAATGTGCCCCCTTTTTAAAATTATTATCTTGAAAAATATTATTACTGTGAAATAATTAAGAAATTACTGTGAAAATTTCCAAGGCCATAGGTCGATCCCTAACACTTTGCATTATCCATTGGTGGTAGATCTAGAATGTGTGAGCCAAATCCCCTCAAATGGCCCTTTCTGATATTAGAAGGCTCACGAGCCTTTTTATGGTGATGAAGAATGTTTGTATGTGTGATTTTAGCATTCTCTGTCCCTCCTTACTCATGGAAGAGGCCAAATTCCCCAATTTGAAAAGTTTACCATATAAGAAATGTAACCAGGGGGTTTAGGCTTTAAACCACTGCTTAAATAAACTTAGTTTGGGTTTTGGCTGGATTTTGTTGTTTGCATGAAGAGAGAGCCTTTGTAGATAATCTAGAAGTCTTTTATACATAATACACGCTATCCACCTTAAAATGAACCTCACATGTAGTGAGGACTTAGAGCAGCCATACCACTTTTAACGTTTCAGCATAAGCTCTGGTAAAAGAAATCTGAAATCAGATGTTGACTTGCTTAGGTGTGCTCGGTGGGAAGCTCTTAAGAACAGAGAACACTGATCCCAGTGCTAGAAACAGACCCCGACAGATACAAAGCTTTTGGACAAATGAACAGCCTGAGAAAAGATTCAGGATGGAGCCATGACCTTCTGAATGAAATAGTTACCAGGTAAGAAGTGAGAACTGCCTGGTTTAGTCATGTAACAAGGTGGCAGCTTTAATTAGTTGGTCCCAAATGAAATACTGTGTAGGGAACACATGGGCACATGTGCAGCACCATAGACACAACACTGATTTTTACACCAGTGATCTGGTGTTAGAAAATTTTTAGTAGGGTCCAGGGTAGTATCTGGGGAGCAGAGGAGGGAGGGAAGTCCTCATCTGTGAAAGTCTTTGGATACAAAAAAATCGGGAAACTGGAATTGAGCACAGTTCTCCTTGTAGGAAATGGGACAATTTCAAACATATCCCTCAGCATAAGTAGTTAGCAAAAGCATTTATTGTATTTATCCTTTGTAGTTTTGTTCATTTTCTTTTAAGGTTGTGTGGGAAGGGGTCTAAGAGAGCCTTCACTCTTCCAAAGAAGACGATGCTGACCACTGGTGAGGATTTGTCCTCGACAAATTCAGAGAGATCATTCCTTGTGAACCTGTATTTTTCTGTGTGAATTCTGTTCCTCTAGTCAACTTTTGGAAAATGAATACTGTAAGCAGAAAAGCAGAGTTGTTTTTGTGTTTTTAAGAAGTGCCAGTTGCTGCACACTGGACTGTTAGAAATCTATTCCATGTACTGAATACATTACCAGATAATTAAGGCTAACAACTAAAATGTTATTCCAGATTTTGCCTCATTTATTTCCCATTAGTGTCTGTAAATGAAAATGTAACTATTGCATTTCTGATTGCTGTAATTCCCTCAAGCATGCAGGCTTTACTAGGCATTGCACAGAAATCTACGGGCTGACAGAAAACAAAAGGACATTCGTGGTGCACAGATGGAGCTAAAAGTTTTCCATAGAATAAGCAATATGACCAAATTAAAAATAAAAAGAGGCAGTGGCAAAACTAGACACATTTTAAAAAGCTCATTCCTCCCTCCTGTAATAGTGGAATGTAGTGAAGTTTTACATCATGAGCCATTCTGGGGAATAATATTGAACAAAACCATCCTGACGAACCTGGGCACTTTTTTCTTTTGTTTCCTTAACACAAAAAGGTGAGATTGGGGCTTTTAAACCTGGTTAAATAACAGCACCACAGGATAGGAAACCACTGGATCATAAATTGTAACTGCTTCAAGCACTGGCTGAGAGGGGTCACGTGTCATAGGATTGGTCAACATCTGGTTGAGAATTCCTCGTAGCAGAGCATTTAATCACATGCTTGACTTAAAATGCATAGGTTAGCACTGTTGTTGAATAGGGGTGTCATTCCTTTTTGAGATAATGGCAACATATAGCTTGGCCTTGAATCTACAGGAGTAAAAAAAATTGTACAAATCTGTGATGTAGAGAGTTGTACAGTACAGTTGGACATGGCTGACCCCCTCCTGGGATACAGCTGCCACATAAGTAAAGGCTGGATTCTAACAGCTCATTCACTCTGGTGATTTTTATTTGTTACCTTAAAGTTGTGGCTGTTTTCCCTTCTGTTGAGAGAGGATGCCTTGAAGATATGTGTGCACCAGAACTTTAAATAGAATATCTTGTGGGCGTATCTTGTATCCTGAGAGGCTCAGTGTTTCTCTTTCTCTGTCACTATTGGTAAGTTTGGGGATGAGCAGCAGTTAAATCTGGAATTTTTTAATGATGAAAAGCAGTTGTAACTCCAGGGAAGCATTTGAAAGAGCAGCTTTCTTTAAAAACCCTTAGTAATACAGTCAAAGATAATGTCCTGAATATTAAAGTAAGACACATTTAAGGGTGGTTTTGGTGTTTCAGAAGCTGCTTGCTCCTGAAATGGTGGTTCAAAACGTTAGAAGGCACAGACAAGTCTATGATGTGAGAATCAGTTGGCCTCATTCCTGCAGTGAAACAGCAGTCTTCATCCTGCAACCTTGCTAGCTGAGCAAGGGCATTTATTCAAGAAATAAGGTTCTCCTAGAAAAAAAAAAAAGTAACATACTGCTTGCTGTCTGGCAGCTAATTAACCATTTTTATGTGCAGCAGATGCTTTGTGGCATCAGGCCCTCCCAACCCTTACACTGTTTGTCCTGCCATGGATTGCTCTGCCCCTCTACAGGTGTTACTTTACTGCAGTTTGCCTGTAACCTGAGCTGGCCATGTTTGTCTTACATTGCTGGATACCCACTGCATATCTTGATTTGGCTTTGTGAACTTCCTTTGTGTACAGCACTATAACGGGGCGCTTCTTGCTCTTTGCAGGGAGTTATTCAAATCCCAGTTTAATAGTTCCTGGTTCACTCCATCTGTTGATACATTGCCAGTATCTGAGTCTGTGCACTAAGTCTTTGTGAGACTGAAGTCCTTCCTTGTAGTCCGTATAAGCTGAAATCTTCAACTGTATTCTGTTCTGTAAATCATTTATCTCTGTGCCTTTTAAGAAGTGGCCTACCTTTCCCCTTGGGGCCACTGGTCTTGAACGTATTTATTTTTTTGGCAGAGCGCCATGAATGAATCATAGCCCTGAGCAGCTCAGTCTGGGCTCCTCTCGATTGTTAGTAGAGAATACTTGGGGCAGTTGTTACAGTGCCTTGCTATGTGAGACTTTAAGAGAAGAGAGATTGATTTCAGACTTGTTAGTTGCTTTTGAAGTTCCTCAACAGTATGTGGAAATGATTTCTTATGGTTGTACAGCTGTAATCCACTAAAATAACTCGTGGTTGTTGAATGGGAAGTTGGTACATGGGAATATGTTACTAACTCTTTGTTCTAATGAGGTGTGTTTACTCTTTCACAAAAAATAGCCGCTTTAGCTTTTATTCCATTTGTACCTTTCCTTTTTATACCTTCCTGCTCCATTTCCATACTTCTTTATTGTTTCTCTTCTTGACTTAATTCTTGAGTCTTTCCTTTTGTTCTTTGGACATCCCTCTTTTCTGGTTTGGCTGCCCCACCATGGATATTGTTTCATACTCCCTCCCTCTTCTATTTTTTTTGTAACAGTGCTTTCATGAAAGGCAACCAGGCAGATGATTTCTTTCTGATGTCTTAAAAGGCTTCTTTGTAATGAAGAGCCTGGAGCCAATCAGACTACTGAGGATTTCCGTAGGTGAGTCAGCAGTATGGGCCTGGCTGGCTCTGAGTCCCACAGTGCCAGTGAAGTATGGAACTATCTTATGCTTCAGAGGGAATGAAGTAGATGACAATGGGAAATCAAAATTCGACTGGATACATCACCATAGATTCTGGTTTCCACTTCTTTGTTAACTTGCCCACTGCTGTGAGCAGGCCATTTGGTTAGCAGTGGGATGTTTGGCTGCTCCTAAACTTCGGATTTGGGCAGCGCCCAAAGCTGTAGGACACAGTATGCTGACCTCCTCCATCAGCACTTGTGGGATGTGTTCTTTATCACCTGCACATTTCCCGTTTTCCGAGTGTTTGAGCAGTGAGTTTGTCCAGCTGGTTGGCTGTGGGACCCCTCAAATAGCACGTGTATTGAGTGCACCTGCCTGTTTTAACTGCAGAGCCTGTACTTCTCACCTGTGCTTCAGGGAGGCTTCTCTTTAGATTTGGTTGACCTTCAGTGTGAGGGAATTGGACCAACAGACGGGGAGTAACAGCTGCAACCTGACCATAAACAAGGTGCCTGTAAGTTAGCCCACAGCTAAGATGTTTGCAACAAAAATCTTTGCCAAATTGGGAAGATAAAGATGAATACAGAGGCCAGTATTCCTGGGTGGCTTAGGGAACTGAACTGTGAGGTCCTTGTTCTCCAAAAGGTGGTAAGGCTGTTCTGACTTGGGAAACTTCAGAGTAAACAGAGCCCTTGGTGAGTGTCCAGTGGAGGGGGATCCAAGCAGGGTTGTGACTCATGCCTTTTCCCAGCAATTAATTTAAAAATAGAATTGACATTGAAATATGCTTTGAAGGTCAGAATGTCAGGTCAGTGTGTGTCTGATAGTTTTTTATGGGTGAGGTGTTGACAGAGGACAAAGTATTCATTTTCAAATTCAGTACTGCTGGCAGTATATTCTATGTAGAAAACGAATTTTCTTTGTATTAGTTACTGCAGGAAGAAGAGACATTACCTCTACATAGGTATTTTCAGGTATATTTTTTGTTGAAGTGAACAGCTGCTGTCACTTTTGATACTGTGGTTTCATAAAATTTTGCAGTGACCTTATTTACCTGCTTTTCTACATAAAAATCTACATCACAGTTGCTGATTGATCCTGAACTTAATAACTGCCTTAGGGAGAGGCAGTAATCACTTTACTCTTGCATGTTTTAACCTCTAACTCAGACTGGTTAAATCAGAGATGTTAAGAAATGGGTTAAATTTTAGTACATGAACAGGAAGCTTCAGACTATACATTCTGAAATTATTCATGAAAGCTGCAAATATTTTAGTTACATCTTTAGTAGAACCTTCATGTCATTTTTGCCTTCACAATTCAGCGTTCTGCCAAAACCTTCTCATTAGTGGTGGGTGGCTATTTTGACGATTATGCACAATTTTTTTCTGAGAAATTGAAGGTATTGCAGCTGCAAAGACAATATTCTGAACTGACTGAAACTTCCTGCAAGTGCCATGGCTATAGAGGATTGCTTCTGCTTTTGAATTTGAATAGAATTTGATTCTTGGGAGTTTGCAACCACAAAGGACTGTCTTAAGAACAAAACAAACCAAACACTGGTCATAACACTATGGTTCCTTCACTTGCCTTTGTTGTACTGTGAGACCTTCTTTGAAAGATTTGAGCCTGATGTTTAAGATACCTCCTGTACTAATTAAACAGGCCAAGTAAATGGTAAAATATCTCATTTATTTTATTAATTTGTATTATTTCTCTACGTGGAATCTATCAGCTCTCTGAAATACTTGTTAAAATTGAAAGGTTCTACTCCCACACAGAGGATTATTTTTTTAATCTGCCTCCTGCCAAAGCTTCTCCAAACCTTAGTAGGGAAGCAGGAAGGGGGGGAGGGAGCATTCAGTGGGTTTTTTGGGGTTTTGTTTGTGATTTTGGTTTGTTCTTTTAATGTTGCTATCCTCAAGTTGTCTTGCTCTTAGCAGTGGAGAAATGTCTGGCTCACTCCTTGTACGAGACAATAGTGAAAAGCCAAGAAAGTTTGGCTCCTTAGAATGTTTCAAAAATTGGTGCAGGACAGGGGGCAGAGCTGACATAAAGCAGCCTACCAATGTCTGTCTCATGATATTGTCACAGTGCTTTGGCATTACAGCCTGGGGCAAGGCTTTTTAAAACCAAGTTATTTTCACAATAAATTCTAGACTATCTCTTTTTTCTTTTTTTTTTTTTCCCCTCTGTTTTTTTTCCCCTCATTGTCTCCCAAGTCTGGTGTTGGGGAATAAATCCTAGATGGGGAGATTGAACACATTCTGCACGCTCCTGGTTAACTTTGAGCCTGCATCCTTGGAGTAGACTTGCCAAGCAGAAGACTGAGTCAGTAGCAATTTCATAGTTTGAAGGTGAGTTTGTACAGACAACAGTAGATGATCACTGTGCTTTAAAGTCTTACATTTAAAGTGTATTATATTTAAGGGTTGTACTTGCACAGATGCTTTTAAAGTAAAGTTCTGGTTTTTTTCTGCTTTGCTTTTTGTTCTTTAAAGAATGTCTCCTCTGTTCCTTGTCTATAGTTTACTTGTGACTAATTTTCAGTTTAAAATTGAAAATGTGTTACTTGTATTATAGAATCATAGAATCATTTAGGTTGGAAAAGACCTCCAGGATCCTCGAGTGCAACCTTTGACCAATATGGTGTGATTCCATGACACATCCTTGAGCTGACAGATGGATATTCCTAAGGGCCTACACAATGTCCTGGTGCCCAGTTCCTTTAGGCAGGCATGTTACTCTTATCCAGTCACTGCTGGCTCAGAAGAAATTCTGGTGACTTTGCTTATAGCCTGGAAATGTATGGAGATGATGTAGCTTACAATAAGTTAGTGTGGAAACTCAGAAAATAGGGTTGTATCTTATCAGGAACTGCAACCTGTCCATGATTTTAATGATCCCAGTGGCACTGAAGTTCCTCTTGACCTATGTGAAAGGATACAAATCTAATAGGGAGTTAAATCTATTATATGTATGTGGGAGCCCCTGGTGGTCTAGTGGTTAAGGGCGCGGTGCTGTCTCCGCCGAGGTCCGGATTCGATTCCTGGTCAGGGACACTCCCCGGGCAGATGGAGCTCGTTAGCCCTTAAAGGCAACCCACCTACGTCCTGAGGACCTCGCTGCCACCGTCCAAGCTCGCTTGGCCCTGGCAGATGAACCTTAGGATTAAAGGGTGGGCTCAGTTCCGCGCACACTGTGTCTCACCTAAAAAATCCAATGCGCAGGCTGGAAGGTGGAAAGACCTTCCCCGGATCTTCGCTCGCGAAGACTGGCCATTATTATTGTTATTATATGTATGTGTTTGTTGCACAAGAAAAAAGTGTACAATAAAGAGGTTGCTTTGAATATTTATCTACATATGTTTATCATTGTTATACTGACCTTTCTTTTACGCTGAATTGGTCATTTAGTCTTTCTGTGAACCATTTGTGGTTTTTTTATCAGTGTTTAACAAAACTTGGATAAATTAAAACCAGTGGGTGTGACCAAAGGTTGCTTTTAATATGTTAATCTGACACTCCTTTATTTTTAATTTTTTTTCCTCAGCTGTCTGGATTGTCTTCATTTTATGGGAACCTCCATAGGGTGGAATCTTTTCTAGAACAAAGCAAGCAAAAAGTACCTGTGGTTAAATGTTCTGAAAGAACAGAGTTGGTGGTGTTCATATTTCTGTTTGAGTCTGAAACTATCTCATTGTTTGCTTGAAGATTATGCTGCTGTTATGACCCTGCTCCAACTGAAATTATACTGTCTCTTTTAATCTGCCTTTGGATGATGAGGCAGACAATTACAAAGAAGACAAGCTTTGTCTTGAAGCAGGTAATAAATAATCATCTCCATCAACTTACAGTTTGGATCAACTTGTCTGTCTGGAATTACTGCAGTTTAACACATTATGGTCTAATGAAATAATAAACTATCTTCAAAAAAATTTAAAGTGTATTTTTAAATCTTACATTCTACAGTGTTTTGGATTTTGGATGTGCTTTTATATAAGGTAGCTTTGAGATGCAGTGCAAATTAATCCAGATTTTTGCAGGGAAGAGTTTTAGATTCAGAGCTTAGGAGTGTTAACATGGAAGCTGTCATTTGGTGTAAAATCAACCTGTTTTATTAAAAGAATGTGTGGATAGATGGAAGTATGCATTGTAGTTGTACTGACAGGGATTGTGAAGCAATGACATGCCTTATTAAGCTGACAAGTAATGGTGTTTTGTGATAGCTTTGGGAAAAGTGTTTGCTTTTGGCATCAACCTAATCATCTTTGTGCAAAGCTTAGTATGTCTTGGGCTTCTCTTCAGATTCAAGGTAACTTCATGCATTCCTCTCTGTTGTAACAGAAATAACTGTATTGTTGCAGTTTGGAAAACTAAATGAGATTGCAGTAAGAAACTGGAAGAACTTCCATAAATTCCTCTCTTACATGCAGTGATACCAGCTGGCAAATTACTTCCTTAGATGGGCACATAAAGAAAAAGAAACCATCTCTTTGTAGCTCTACACTTGTATTGTTGATTGAAGCAACACACAACATGTGCCTCCTGCTGCTCCAATTAGAAGCTGAAATCACTCAAAGATAGTCTACCCAAGCAGGCTGGAGTCCCTTTGCACGTGGAGCACCCATGGCTGGTGAACACTGCAGACTTTCACAATAGTGAGGCTATTACTGCTGGGACCCACATGGAGGGAGATACTTGCCCAAGGCATTTTTAACCAACTCTTAGTATGGTGAAAATGTTTTATTTTTTTGGTTGGTCATGGAACAGATGTCAGGCCTAATTTCAATAGTAATTATAAGATTAATGTTTGAGTAGGGTCTGTAGAACTGGGCCATCACATCTCCCTGCAGATTGCAACTGCACTTGCTAGTATACAGTTTTCCCCCTCTGGTTTCAGGTCCTATCCTTCTTTCATACTAAAAAGAAGAAAAAAGTATTAAAACAATTTGTGAAACAGTGGTAACTCTCAAAACATACTTAGAAATGACTTGGTGGCTTTTGGTGCTTGTGAAATAGCAGTGTCTTTCTGTGACCCTGTGCTAACACATTGTTTGAGGAGCTCAGAGGGCCTGGGGTGTGTGGCAGATCTCTGTGACTGCCACATCCACAGCAGGAAGGGTCAGGAGACACTGATCCTGCGGCACCTGAGACCACCAGCAGTAACAATCCTGGTCCCTCATGCAGGGCTTAAATCTTCTGTTGCAGTGGCCATACTGTATGGAGAATGTGACTAATTTTTGGTGATTAATACACATTTGGAACAGGAGTAGCAACTGGAGTCTGTCCCAGGATTTGCATCATACCTTAGGTGCCTTACCTAAGGCTGAAGCACTACTTTTGTTTTAGTTCAGCTAGGACCCCTTAACTGTCTCAATCACTTTTTGGGTTTCAGCAAAGTATATTTTTGCTGGTATCCGAGTCAGCAAAGAGCCTTTGATGTAATTCAGTTAGAAAGTGCATGCAAAATGGAAAACATATTTTAACAGGCGAGCAAAACAAAATCCTGTTTGCCCCCCAAGACTGGTTTTGCTTTACTAGTTTGTTGATTTGCCTTTTGAGCAGCTTTGCTGAGCGTTAAGCTGTGTTGAACTCAGCAGCTTCAGCAAGGTTTTCTTCTGGTGTTTTCAAAGATTTCCAGCGTTTGGCAATTTGCACTTCATTGGTTTGGTTTTAACAAATGTTTACACCTCACTGCAGTGGGGAAGTCTGTCTGTCTGCACCAGCAGTGTCTGTTGGGAATGCTCAGGGTCACTGTTCCCAGCAAGCTGATGTTCCTCAGGTTCTTTAGATGTTTAATAAATATCCTGTTGTAAAACTTTTTCTGGGAGCTGTAATAGCACATCCAAAGGATGAAAAGCTGTTTTTGACCTCTCCTTTTTCAAGCTCTTCTCATCCCAGGAGCTCTGTGTTATTAAACAAACCGTTCCTACCTATTCCCTCTGGCAGTTATAAACAGGAGTGGCAGACTTTTTTCTTAAAGATGCATATTAAAAAGTAATTACTCTGCAGGAATTAATTCTTGTGATGTGTACCAATTTCTAGTTCAGATCTTTTCCAGTGCCTGTGGTTTTGTTTTCTGTATTTCATTTTTTTTTCTGATGTCTTTTTTTTTTCTCAGATAAGTTTTAGACTGTTATGACTAGTATTTTTCCAAATATTAGATCATCAAACTTCTGTTCTTGTTAGCTGGTAATGAAAATATTCTTCAGTAGTCTACTAATACAATACCAATCAAAAAAAATTATAAATATTACCATATATTGGTATAAATATAATAGATAAAGGTTTAAAAATATGTATAAAATTATGATTATTATGAGACTATGCCTTTCAGTTTTTTAGCAACTGAAATGTTTCTGTTCGATATCCTGAGTGTGTGGAGTCTAAATCTGGATTTCATTTAATGTCTGGAATGCATTTTTGGCTAGCTTTTGGTGGCCTGGAGATCTCATGACCTGTCCTTGCAAGGGTATGAAAATACTTCAGTGTCAGTTATTCTTGCACGATTCTGATAGACTTTTAAATGGAACTGGACAGCACAGACCCTTCATGGGATCTGAATCTTTCCAGGAATCCAAGTGCAGGGTGTGTGGGTTCATCCCCGGCCGTTCCCTTCCGTGCAGCCTCCCACACCTCTTGGCTGGGCTGCTGCTTTGGCTGCACCTCTGGCTACGTGTGGGACTGTGCTCCCTCCACCATTTCATGCATCAATCCTAGTTTCAGGATCTAAAATAAACCTTGCTGTGCCTTGGTGCTTTTTTTTTCCTTGGGAAAACACAGACAGTTGTGCTGCTATTTATATACTTATGCATTTATTATAATAGTGTGTCTGTCACACTGAGGGGAGGAGGAGCTGGATAGGAGAAATACCATGAGCAGAATTCCTCTGAGACACCGCATTTCTGTTGCCTTGTGCTCTTTTTGGGTTTCCCCACAAATCTGCAGCCCTAAGGCTCTTTGTGGGGTTCAGGTTGATTTAAAGTTGTGTCAGGGCAGGCTCAGGTTGGATCTCAGGGAAAGGTTCTTCCCCCAGAGGGTGGTTGGCACTGAACAGGCTCCCCAGGGCAGTGAGCACAGCCCCAAGGCTGCCAGAGCTGCAGGAGGGTTTGGATGATCCTCTGGGGCACAGGGGGTGACTCTGGGGATGGGCCTGTGCAGGACTAAGGGTTGGACTTGATGATCTTTGTGGGTCCCTTCCAGCTCAGCATATTCTGGGATTCTTTCCCTTTGCAGTGCACTTCAAGAGCTGCCCAAAGCACCCTCAGATCCTTGTGAAGGTAAAATGCAGCATTATTGGATCTGTTTCTCTACATGACAGCTGATGTTCCATGTGGACACCAGAAGATCAGTACAGCACTTTTCCATTACTGTTCTGTAATTAATTTCTGCAAGCTAAATGCCTGTTGCACAAACAGCATTCCCAGGTTCTTCAGAGTGCATTGGAAAAGTCTTATTTTGGCTTCTGAGTGGCTCTTTCAAAAACAGAAGCTGTTCCAAACCAGTTTGATAACATTACTCAAAACAGGCAAGATGTTCTCCTAAATTGCTTTAGTCTTGGAAATGGCAAACTTGGAATGAGTGCTGCTGCAAGGCAGTGGCAATGACTGAGGATGTGCTGGTGTTGGGGGAATGCTGGGATGATGAGAACAGGTGTGTTCCTTGCTTTTCCCACTGGTCCAGTGCTGAGGGACTAAAATCGTTCTGGCTCCGGGCAGACGTTCAGACTTTTTGCAGTTGCATGTGAAACCTCCTGCTCTGGAGATGGAAGAGCATGAGAACGATTTGTTGACCATGGCGACAGCTCAGCTGTCTGACTGTTGGCAGTTCCTCCGGTGGCTGAATGAGTCATACCAAGTGCAAGAAGGGATTCTGTAAAAATCTCCTGCGGTGCAAGCTGTAAACAGGAAACAAAGTGACGGATCTGTTCAGACCATTATCGTCAAACAGTGGAATGTGTGGACATTAGCCCCCCATCCTTCAGCCCGGCTGTAGTGCGTTACCTCAGGCTCTGAACCGCTTGTTCCTCGTCATTTGTGCGTGCTGCTCAGCCTGTTTGTGAGATGCCGAGTGACGGTGCGTTCCGATTTGAAACGCAAGTGGCGCACTTCTGCCTTTAAAAAGTGCTTTGTGAAGAACAACTTCTTGTTGTTTTCCTGTAGTTTCAGAACAGCTTTCTAAAGCAGGAGTCAGGCAGTCAGACTGGAAGCGGTGTTCCCCTCGCTGTTCTCTCGTTCCTGGCTCTCCCGGGGCTCGAACCGGTGTCGCTTCGACCCCGGACCCGCGCGCCCCTCCCCGGGGCGGGGCATGGCGCGCGCGCGCTCCCTACCTGCGAGGATGTGACGTCACGCCTCATTACCGTAATAGCGCTGACGTCATGGTGGGTTCGGCCAATGGGGCAGCCCCGCGCTCCCCACCTGCTCGGCGCAGAATTCCCTCATTCCTGGGATTCCTGCCCGGGCCGCGCGCGGGGCCAGCGGGGCCGGGCTCGCCGCGCCTGCTCCGCTGCGCTGCGCTCCGCCAGTGCCGCCCCTTCCCGCCGCTCCGCTCCGCTCCGGCCCGGCCCGGCCCGGCCCGGCCCGTGGGCGCCGCGGCCGCGCTGCCGCCTGTGCTGCCGCCCCCGGAGCGCCGGTGAGTGAGGGGGCAGCGCGGGCGGGGCGGGCGCAGGTTCAGGTGCTGCCCCGGCGCGCTCTCCGCGCTGCGGGACCTTCCAGGGGGCGGGCGGAGCGGAGCTGCCCGGGGGGCCGCGGGGGCTCCGAGCGCTCCGGCGGGGCCGGGCCCGCCCGGGCAGCAGGGCTGTCCCGGCAGGGACCGGCTCGGCCGGCTGAAGGTGCCCGAGGTGCCTCAGGTCCCAGCGAGCGGGAACGGGGACGAAATCCACCCCAGGAGCCCCTACCCGGGGTGTCCCGGGCAGCGGGACCGAGCGGGCACTGCAGCTCACACCTGGGCTCCCGCTCGGGTGCGTGTCCTGCAGGGAAAATCTCTGGGGTGACACCAGCAGCAGAGGTGAAACCTTCTAGAATGAGTCTTAAGGGCGCTGGGAAGGTTTTTGCCTCTGTACCTTGTACGTTCCATTTGTAGAGTGGGTGTTTTTATTCAGTCTGTAGCAGTGCAGTGTCAGGCTGTCTTATGTGTTCCCCAGATGCAATCAGCAGTAATCAAGTCTCAGGATTTGCATTTTTTAAGTAAATAACTGGGCTAGAACAGTTGTTGCTGGATCTCTAGCACCCCCAGCATACTGTGGGGAACAAGAATGGGTTGTTTTGGTGCGGGATGCTAAAACGGGGTAGAAAATCATTGTGCAGACCCTTGGGCGCATATTAATTAAGAGCATTCACACAATAAAGTGTCAGGATCTTATTTACATATATGTAGCTCTGATAACCTTCTCAGCATCTCCATATTGCATTAGCTAATTTGTTTGTTCTCAGAAACATTTGAAAGCTTTTTATTATAAAAGGGAGCTTCAGTTCTATCAGCTGTAGTTAAATGTTTCATAATATGTTTGCAGCAGAGTGTGTAACATATAGGGTGGACTGAGTGGTCTTGTAGATAGATACAAGGCATGGTCAGGTTGGGCTTTTCTACCTTTAATTTCTTAGGTTTGTTAGCTTTTAATTCAAACACCATTGCTAATAGATTTCTTTGTAAAATGTTTCTTTGTTAAGGAGTTTTTATGCAATAAGACAACAAAAGGCACAAGGTAAAATGCCAAAGCTCTGCTTTAAGCTTATAATTTTCTGTGTGATGAGTTAAATTGTTGTTTCTGCTTGAAGGTTTGCCTGTTCAAACACTTTTTCCACATGCAAAACAATCATGGTTAAAACCCCCAAAGTAGCGAATAATTTTTTTTTTCTTTTAAAGTCGTATTTTGAAGATTCCTAGGCCAGGTAGCCTGAACTCACTCAGAGGACCATGGGTTGTAAATGTAGGGGATGATCAATACTCATGGTAATCATGACCTAAACTGAGTGCTTGCAGTTAAGATTTGACATGGGTATCTCAACAGAGAATTTATGTAGTAACAAGTAGAAGCTTTGGTCTAAGTGCAGTTGAAGGAATTTATTGTGTCTATTTGGGGCACGTACTGTGCTTATCATTATTCTCACTCGTTGCAAATCTGATTTACTCTCTCCTGTAATAAAAAGTAAAAGGTATTTACCTATTTTGCATCAAAGTGCTGCTTTATCTTCCTTTCCTCTGTGGACTTTCTGGTTGTGCTGATAAACTGTGCCTGGATTTCCTCTTCAGTTTTGTTTCTCCCATGGAAATCAGCTGAGTCTCTCTATAGGTACTTCTGGTTATGAATTTGGACAGACTGTGCCTGTATTTCCCCAGGTAGGAGCTGCTTTTGACTTGTTTGACCATACTTTTCAATTAATCTAATTTTCCCTGTACTTGTGTTTATCTACACTTGGTTCACTTTAGTCTTGATTGTCTCTCGAGTGTCTTGTTATTCTTGAAGCACTTTTTCATTGTAACAATGGGCTTTGTTTATTAACACTCCTTTTCTCCCTCAAATTTATCTCTCTAATTTCACCAGATGGCAATTCAAGTACCAGACTTTTCTCTCAATCCTGGGAAGGTTCAGCCTTTCTCTTCTTGTCTATCTCTAGTTTGAGAGAACTAGTTTGAGGTGTTTGCAGTGGCTCTGCTGTTCTGTCAGTTAGACCTGTAATCCAGGTATTGATTGTCATGGCTGTGATTTCACTTTGGCTTTTCATATCCAAACGATGTCAAAATTCTTCTGTTTTTTTTTCCTTACCTGCCCAGCATGCCTGTCCTCATCACTCTTTGTCCTTGTTTCTATCATCTAACTTGTTACTTCAGCTCCAAGTTAAAGTCCATCCTAGACAAAAGCCATCATGTCTTGTTAATGAGAGTGCTGCCCAAACATCATCTTGCATGTTTCTCTTTTCTTTCTGTCCCTTTACTATTCCCCCTTTTAAAAAATCAAATATAAAGTTCTTAGCTTTGTTTCAAATCTTTCCTGATATACCTTGAATGTTAACTTAGGTGGGATTAAATAATCGTCTCTCTGTTGAGGCTGATTGAGTGGTGCTGTTTACTGAACTTCAAACAAGCAACTTTGGAATTTTTCCATGAATGCTTTTCCTGATGCTTGGAAGGTGCTGGATAAATCCATGAAATCACTTAAATCTTCATTTTTGAAAGCTTTAATTTCTCCATAGTCTTAAAAAAAAAAAAAATTAGCAGACATTTGCTGAGAGCAATCCATGTGTGCCTAGAATTTCCAAAAATGTGAAAAGGAGAGGGAAAAAAATGTGCTGTTTTGTTGCATTAATGGATGTTGTGTGTATTTCAAGTGTTGCATAAAAAAATTACAGATGGACCAGTGTTTAGTAACTTATTTGTCTTTCAGACACTGAATCTCTGAGTTCACATTCTGTTTCTTTCCAGAATGTTTCTGTACTGCAGTGCAGGTGAGAGGACAGACTAGGGGAATGTTGAATGGGAGCAGTAGCTGATAAATAAAGGACTGAGTAAGATATTCAGTAATATACTGAAATTACAGTAGATAAAACTATCTTGAATGTTTGTAAAAGTGCTTTTGGCTTATGTCTCTTTAACAGTTAAGGGGTTGCAACAAATAAGATATTTGGGAAACTGTTTCCATAGTGTTTAATCAGATTTAACCAGAGGAAGTTCAATTGTGTTCTTGTATTTCACCAGTCACTTGCTTTCCCTTACCAGATCTGGGTGCAGAGCAGTACTTACACATAAGATAGAGTTGGTTTTTGGTGGGGATACTCATAAAAATCCAACATTGATGCAGGCTGGTTTCTGCATATGCAGGTTTCTGTGTCAAACAGAGAATTAGCTGGATTTTGTCAGGAGTCTACTTTTAAACTCATTTTTTCTTTTTTTTAATTTTTTTTGGAACCCTGGAAAGTGTCCTGGTCTGTATTTCTGAACCGTGCCTCCTCCTGAGGATGGCTGGGCAGTTCTCTGAAGGCAGCCTTGACAAAGCTGTATCAGTTGCTGACCTTGCCCAGATCAAATTAGGTTTTTAAGCTTTGAGCTGTTGAAGAGAAGATCCTTCCTCTCTCTTTCTCATAGGCAAGTTTTATTACTTTCTAAGCTGTTATCACTGACTTGTTAGTCTGATTTAGAGATAGAGGGGTATTTAATATTGTTTGAAAAATAATCTGGACATTTATATTTCCTTGAAGGTAATTTTTTAAACTGTAAACATGTTCAGTGTGTTTAAAAAATCTCAGAATACGTGGTATTGCACTGTGGATTTGCAGCTCTCCCTTCAAAGCAGCTCTTGGATGAACTCAGCATTCTGTACAAGGCCTTAACTGTAGAGGAACAGCTCAGCAGCTCTCTCATGATATAGACTTAATAATATACAAAGCTGCAAAACTATATGGAGTCCACTTTTAGTGAAGTTGTTTTTGAAGTGTCTAATTTCCTGAATAGAATCAAGACTTGGTTCCTGTTTCCTTCTCTCAATGTGGATTTCTGTCACCAGCTAATTCTTTTACTAGGAACATGTTCCGGAAAGGGTTTGGGCATCTGCTACTCCCATTACTTGAAATTTACTGAAAAACTTAAGGAAAAAAGGCAATTTGTTTTCAATAAAAGACATTTTACTATCCTTTGCATTGTTTTTTATCAAGAGGTGCTTGTTCTTTTTGTTTTTCTCTTCCTAAAGAGTTGACTTAAAAGGTTTGTATTGCTGTCTTTGAAATTTCAGACAAAGTTAGCACTAAACCACAAGTTAACCTTCAGTTTGGTGTAGCTGCATCACCTGATCAGACATATTTTAGTAATTTTTCCAACTGAATTTTCACTCTGTTAGAGGAATTTGTGTAAGAGGGTCAGTAATCAACAGTCTGGGGAGAAATAAAGTGTTATTTTGAGGTCCAAGAAAACAAAAAACAGAAAAGAAACTAAGCATCAAGGTCGAAGGCATTGAAGTGGAATGATGCTTGAAGGCTTCTCCAGCAAACACACTCTGCCAAATATTTGCTTTGGTTTGGAGGAGAATGTGGCCAGGCAAGATATGAAGAAATATTAAAGAGTAAAATAAGAAGCTCAGATCTTGTTTTCTAAAACCTCTTGCCCACAGGTACTGTCTTTACATGAAAGAGTTAATTGACTTAAAACTTAGTTAAAATACTGTTCTTGAGCGAAAGTGATGATGAGAGGGAGGGAAAGGGCACGTTTTAATCCCCAAGTGCTCTGCTTTGTTATTTCAAATTTTTCTCTTGTATAGTTCCATGGAAATATTACTGGATTTAATTATTTAAACTTAAAAATATATTTTTTAAAGTTACAAATACTTCAAAATCCTTTCTCTTATGCTTTAAAACCTTTGATTAAAGTCTTTGATGTTATTTAGGAAGAGAGGGAGGACAGTGAAGTTTATTGTTTTAGTGCAGTCAAGGAAATTGTTTCCTAAACATATGCTTGCTGTTAAGTCTGTGTACATGTTATACGTGTGTTTGAGATTTCTGTAGTTGCCACTACCTTCTTTTTTTTTAGGATTATACTGTAAAGTAAGTTACAGTAAGTGAACAGTTTTTATGAGAGAAGATCATGCTAGGTTTTTGGTGGAAAAAATCCAACCAAAATGTTATGAGTTTTTCTCTAATGTTTTCTTCACAGTTCTGCCTATGCTGTTGCCTTCTTATTTAAAAACACATAAAAGTTACTGGCCTTTTAATAAAAACAACTTGACAGCATGTTATTCTCGTCCTTAATTTCCCTTTCATATTTTTGGAATTTCATATTGGAACTTCTTTTTTAGTCTTGAAGCCATCTGTGTGAGACTTTGAGAAGCTTATGTAAGCTGCAATACAGTCATTAGTTTTGTGGGAGAGTCTATTGCTTGATATAGTACTGAAATGCACATTTTTAGTGTGTTAGGATTAATTTTTTGTGTATGGGAATTATGTGTTGCAAGGGGCTAAAGCCAGGGTAAAGCAGCTCCTGAGGTGTGTAATGACACAGGTTGCAGGTGTCTACCTGTGCTGTTGCATATTCACATACCCAGAGTTCAGCTGTATGTTCATTAGTAAATGGCTTATAAACTTTGGATGATTCTGCTGTGGCAATGGAGAATATGGAGCTCAAGGGTACTGAATCCTGTGGCTCTGAAGCAGTCTCATGCTCAGATGGTCAGACCAGCTGCCACCTTCCCTGCAGAGGAGCTGTACCTTTGGATATTGTCTCAAGTAGCTCTTTCTTGGGATGGAAGGCCAAAGAACCACAACATGTAGTAGATAACCCTGTTGCAACATTTGTGAGCAGCAGTCATCAGCTTCAGTACTGGAGAATTTGGTCTTCTGGTTTGTTTGGGTGAGTAGTTGGTGGGAAAGCTAATTCCAGTGTTTTCTTTTTTTCAGAACTAAGCAATGACTTAGTTTTAGCAAGTCCTGTGTTGGTATAACATGAAAAGAGTAGCAGAAACTTAGATTTTTGATTCTTTTGCTGCCATGCTCTTTTTCATTCCTTCTGTAAAACCTGAGGTGTGTATGATCTGAACAGGTGATGCAGCACTTGGTGTGTTAAGGATTCTGAGTTTACTCTCTGTAACTTTGGCTCTGAATTTTCCAGGATCCAGGGAGGAATGGAGACTCCACTGGATGTGTTGTCGAGAGCAGCATCTCTAGTACATGCTGATGATGAGAAACGTAAGTCTGAAATTCAGTTCTCTGCTTTGCTGGATCCAGATAATTATGTCTGCACTGTGTATCAGCCTAGATGTTGGTTCTATCAACCTTGGCGTTTTACTGAATCAAAGTTGTGTAGGAAAATGTCAGGAGCCCTTCAGAGGTTGTCTCCCTCATTTGCAAAACCAGTATGTTGCATTTCAATTGGTTCGTGTGCAAGACAGAATCGTTCCCTTTATTTTAAGTTACTTAACAATTCATATGAATGTGCCCCTCTTTTTCCAATTGCATTAGTCAAAAAGTTGTAATGGAACTATGTCAAACTAAGGCCAATTTGAGAAGTTGTACTCCCTGATAGTATTGGTTAGACCTGTTCTCATTTAAGAACACATAACTGTGTGGGCATGAGTGGGTTGCAAAGATTTCAGTTCATAAAAACTACCAGGTAGACTGTTACCATCTGTAATGAGCACTTCATTTTCCTTTCGCTGCCAGTAAAAGGTGATTACAGGATTTTAACAGTGATGTCAGTGGCAGCCCATCATTTGGGTAGTATTTTTGCTTTTAATATTCATGGTAAGAGTTTCAGGTGGGTTAACTAATGTTAGAATAATGTTTTCAGTTCTGTCAAACTGCAGTGCTACTTTGTAGATCAAATTGTTATCTGCATGCTGACTGCTAAATGCCTTTGCCAGGTTTTTCTGAGCAGTGTAAGCACTCAGGGAGTGTGTGCACCTTGGCTATCAGCCTCAAGAGGTGCCGACTAGGAAAAGTGGTATTTTGGATTTCAAACTGCTTTTGTGTGTAGCTTCTGTGCCTAAAATCACCTTTCGAGATGAATTCAGCTTTTCTTCTTTTGGTCTTTGTTCCTTTATTCTGTATATATTTTTGAAAAGCAATTGTATTGAATGTTAAATAAAATAATTGATGCACTGTTGTTAATCAACTCACTCAAGTAATTACAAAGTAAAAAAATACAGCATATTTGGACAACAAGTCCCAGGGTTTTTTTGTGTATTCAAACAGTCAAGAAAGCAGTAGCTCACCATTTCAGAAGTCCATAAAATGAAGGTTCTAAACCCTGATGAGCTCTTCTGTGTTACTGGCTTTTAGCCTTATAATGAATGTTGGTTTTGCTGTTCTTTCATGTTCACTTTGCTACTGGATAACTACCAAGGTTTTGTTGGTCTCACTGTAGACGGATGACTTGGTTGATTGCCACAGTTATTGACTATTGCTGGTAAAATGAGCAGTGATGGAACTCCTTGAGGAAATAGTTTCAACTGTGATTTTGGCCTGGGGGATTTCTCTTGCAAACTAACATATATTTGTAGAAAAGTCAAAAGGTTTACCTATTTTGCTTTGCCTACATTTTAAAATATATTATGAATATGTATTCTCAATGTTCTTAAGCTTAAATGCATTCTTTTCAGTTTACTATTCCCTGAGACTCTAGTTTGAATTTGAGTGCCACGGGTAGGAATGTTGGGCTGGATTTAGAGAATCCAGAGGAAGTCTGATTCAGTGCAACTTGCATGTGAGGAAGCTGATGTGTATCTGGTTCTAATTTACATTCCTTTAGTCTTACCACTTAGACTTAATTAGATTTATGCCACTCTGCAGCTTCTAACTTGTGCTATCTCTGAGCTTGTCCTGTTGTGTGAATCACACACCAAAAAACTGTAGCAAGTGCTGTTGAGAGGAAGAAAAGAGCAGTCCCTGAAGTTGCACTTTTTTGTGTCAGCTTTAGTGGAAACAGCATCAGCCAGACTTCACCCTTTGTTAAAGTGGATGCTAACAACTTGAAGTTAGTCCTAGCCTTGAATTTAGCAATTACCCTTGAGCTTTCCAGTGAAGTGCCTGGCGTGCTGCTCCTGGAGTTCTAGCAGTGGTCCTGTCTGTATTTCTGTATCCCCATTCACTTTGTCTAACACACAGAGTTCTACAGAGAGTTTCCAATATATATTGAAATGTCTTTGTCTTATATGTTGTATGAACACATATATCTTTGTTTATAGACAAATCACATACTGTTTAAAACAAATGCTTTTAAACTTCCCAACGCGTAAAGAAATGAAGGAGATATAAGTTATTGTGGTTTAACCTCAGCCAACACCCAAGTACTACCCAGCTGCTCACTTAATGTCCCCTGCCCAGCTGGGATCGGGAAAAGAATCAGAATAAAAGGTCAAACCTGTGTGCTAAGAACAGTTTAATGATTGAAATAAAATATTATAATTACAGTAATGAAAAGGGAGAAAACAAAAAGAGAGAGAGAAATAAAACCCGGGAAGGACAAGTGATGCACAATACAGTTGCTCACCACCTGCTGACCAGTGCAGAGCCTGTCCCCAGGCAGTGATCAGTGGCCAGTTCCCCCAGTTTCTACACTGGGCACAGCATTCTATGCTGTGCAATATCACTTTGTTCAGTTCAGGTCAGCTGTCCTGGCCATGCCCTCTCCTGGGTTCTTGTGCACCTCCTCCCTGCAGAGCTCGGGCCACTGCGACGTCCTTGCTTCGGGTAAGCCCTGCTCAGCAACAACCAAACCAGGAGTGTGCTGTCAACACTGGATTTGTCCCTTCAGTACCTGAGGGGAGCCCACAGCAAGGGAAGGATGGAGAGAGACTATTTACAAGAGCCTGGAGTGACAGGACTAAAGGGAATGGCTTCACACTGACAGTGAGTGGGTTTAGATGGGGTATTAGGAAGAAAGGGTGAGGGTGGGCAGGCCCTGGCACAGGTTGCCCAGAGAAGCTGTAGCTGCCCCATTCCTGGAAATGTGGAAGGCCAGGTTGGATGGGCCTTGGAGCAACTTGGGATAGTGAAAGAGGGTGGAACTGGATGAGCTTTAAGTCCCTTCCAAGCCAAACAATTCTGGGATTCTACGATTCTGTAACATTATTTCCATACTAAATCCAAACCACAGCACTATGCCAGCTACTAGGAAGGCAATTAACTCTATCCCAGCTGCAGCCAGGACATGCCAGTGCAGATTTCCCAGAATGGTCATTGGTTTCTTAAGCAAATATGACCTTGATGTTTTTTGGTTTGTTTTTTTCACAGCTGCACCTGCGTCAGTGAGGGTGACCCTCAGTGATACATTAGTACTTGGTGTTGCTTTCAGTCTCAATCTCTGGTTTAGTTCATGAACTATATTGTAGTCTCTATATATATAGACTGTATTTCAACAGCTCCCAGTTTAAATCATTCTGCACTTGTTAGCAACAAAAATTTATGAACCACATTTGGTTAACTACTGTGTCATGAAAAAGACAAATTAGGGAGAAGAAACGACTACTGCAGTTTTGTATTTGTGACTCTTACCCCTGTGATGGAGACAGTTATTTAAGGTTATGGTACAGTGGATCTGTACTTAAAAAAAAAAAGGCTGACCAAAAGAAGGTAGACGATGGCATTATAAGACAGACATCTTAAAGGCTTGTCTCTAATTTCTGACTTGTGAATAGTGGATGAAAGGCCACAGGAAGCCTGTGCTGTTTATGAGCAAATCTTCAGTGCTGGAGTAGGTAATGTGCAACTATTTTATCTGTAAGTGGCACCTGTAAGGTTTTTCTGGGTTCTTCTCAGGACTTCAGGAGTGGGATTTAGATGAAATAACCATCTGTATGATGTGCATGTTTGCTGGTTTTTGGATGTTATCATAAATCTTACTGAATGTGGGCTATTGTAAACTGCAAAAATGATTACAATGACTGAGATGCTTGATACTCATTACTCTTATTCCTCTTCTTTCCCTATATTCTTCTTACTGGGGTTATACTGATTTGTCATGTGTTCAGGGTCCAAGTTGGCTGATTTTAGAAGACCACAGTGAAAGCTGGTAAGATTTAAGCAAGTGTTCAAACAGTAAGGACGATTATCATTTTGTATTTATCTCATGTAAAAATGAGAGGTTTGGGAACTGGTCTTTCAGTTATAAACAGTGTTTTAAAAGCATAATCTTGTTATTGAGAAAACAGTGAAGGAAAACACTAAGAAGGAGTTGTGCTTGCATAATGTGTTGTAAGCACCGAGTGCTCAACCTGTACGGATTTTATAGTAACACTTACACTTTCCTCCAGCATTTAAGTCCAGTTTAAGAATATGGGAAAGAACGAGAAAAAATATGGTTTTTCTCACTCTCTCAGAGTAATATAGTGAAAAACCTGTTGTTGGCAAACAGGAGAAAATATATGTCCATAAGGAAATGAAAGGTTTGGGAACAGCTGATTAATGGCACATTGAAGTCCTGGCTAAGAACTTTGCAACCTCATGCCTTGTACCAAATCCATACCTGTTCAGTCTTGATTTATGTTTGGAAAAGCTGATAGATAACTACACGAATAAAAAAAAGTTATCTTTGATCAAGCTATGCTTCTTGCAAACGTGGCATGAGGCACATGTGTCATCCCTGGGTGCATGGAAGTCTGGAATTGCTATTCCACACTTCTTGCCTGTGAACACTGTTATTGTTTGGCAACAGTTTCTCTTATGTGGTTTTGTTTAACGTACTTCAAATAATTAGACCATACAGTTGATATTTCTAGCACAGAAGAAATACTGTGCTTTAAAATCCCTGCCCTAATCTGCTTTGTCATAAAATTCTTGTGTAGACAAGACCTGCAGATCAGTTTTTACTGTTCTTCATTGATATCAATAATTAGAAGCGGATTGACTGCCACCTCATCATTAATAAATATGCACTGATTAATTGTTTGGGATAACTGATCCTAAAAAACGTATCACTTCAAGGCAGAGGTGAAAACAATGTATTATTTTTTAGCACTCTTGAAGAGGACACTAACTCTGTAACCTTATTGTCTTCAAATACAAAACAAGGCACATTTGTAGTAGAATTAGACTTGAATGTTATGTGTGTTAGAGATATTGATGATGAAATATTTCCAGCATCGCCAGGACTTTCTACCTACACTACTACTGCTTGTTGTATAAATTTATAGCAAATTATGGGCAGTAAGCCTGAGGCAGGTTTTAATATCAATGTGTACAGAAGTTTT